TACCATCCTTCTTTTTAACCAATACAACAGGCGCGCCCCATGGGCTATTAGACGGAGATATAATATCCGCTTTCAACATGTCTTCCACTGCCCCTCGAACATGCTCACGCTCAGCCGGACTCATCCGACGCGAGTTCAAACGGATAGGGGCAGCGTCCCCCGTGTCGATATGATGAGAGAGCAGCGAGGTGCGTCCCAAGTCCAAATCGTCCGAGCTAAACACATCGGAATAGCTCGATAATAATTTATGAATCGCACAACGCTGCTCGGCGGAAAGGGCCGAATTTTCCCCACATAATTTGGCGATCCAACGATCATCAACCCCTCCATCGTGTGAAACACCACCCACCAGCCCCCCGTCCGGCAGGTCACTCTGAGCCGTAAACGCCGTAGTGGCATGTGCCACAACGGTACCAGCCGGCACACACACGCTTTCAGCACTCGCATTTAACACCTGCAAAAACGGGCGCTGATCTGGACGGACAATAGTTTGCGCCCCTACCAGCGCTAAGCCGCCCGTAACCGCGGCGGACGGCGACAGCAAAATCCCAAAAGCACCCTGCCGACCCGGAACCGGCTTCCGGTATCGTAAGGGAATGAGCATCTGAGAGCCAGGTGGAATATCAACCGAAACTTCTGATAGCGCCTGCACCTGGGCGACAGGAGCCGGTCGCCCCCAGGCGGACTGTAAAAATGCCAATTTCCGGCCCCCCGGTAGTTCTATGCAATTTTCATTGATTCTAATTAGAATGGGCATCTTAGCCAAAAAATCCGTACCCAACAGGCAAGGAACCGCCAGGGACCTCGAAATCAACACAACGCCCGAGGCCGAGACACCCCCGATAGAAATGTTAGCGTCCACCTGTCCCACGATGCCCATACTACCCCCGTTCGCAGCGATGCAGGAAGCGTAAGCCGGCCTCACGGCCCCCGGTGGGATGTTCAAAAGATGGAATATCACATCCGAAATAATGGTCGCGGACGCACCGGAATCCACCAAAATACGTACGTCCACCCCTTGGATGGACCCAGGTACAGTGGACGAACCGGTAGCGGCCGCGACAACCCGCCGAGCCAGCTTACGCCACTGCGTTATCGAGCGACAAGGCTCAGATACTGGCCTCCCGCATTTAACAACATCCGAGTCGCATAACAACGGCGATGAGTGAGGTGTCAGGCCTTGCCGGGTGTCTGGTGCGCACCGACTTGCCTGTGCTGGAGGGTCTTTCTTTGGGGCGTCCGCTGTCGAGGCCTCCTGCTGGGGCGGCCCCAGAACCCGGGCCCAGCAGTCTCTGGCATAGTGGCCCCGACGGCCGCAGCGGAAGCAGTCGACGTCGGGGCGGCGCGCAGCGGGCACCCCGTCCCGACGTGGCCGCACCGGCGGCGGAGCCCGCGGCCCCGGCCCGCTCCGGGCCGGCCACGGAGTAGAGGCAGCCGACAACTCCTTCTGGCCGGTCGCATCCGGCACGTACACGGCCTTTGTAGGGTCCCACCCTACGGCCCCCCCATCGACGACAGGACCGCCCGTCCACGCCGTGACCTGTTTCCAGCGGCGGAGATTGAACTGGGCGTCCAAACACTTGGCCGCGGCCCGGGACGTGAGTTTTTCGTGACCGCACGCTGGCATAGGAATGCCAAGATCTCGGGACAACTCCAACATCTTCCCCAAGATGAGTGGTTCCAGCAGGTCAGGCTCCGTCTCCGGGTAAGCGGCCATAGCGAGTTCCAACACGGCGCCCCTGTACGCTACAGGCGACTCCTCAGGTGCGCGTTGCCGCTGCACGAATCGGCGATGGGCGTCATCCGGTGGCTCGTACGCGTCCGCCATTTCATCGAACACCCCTCGCAGAGTTTTCTTCTTCGCAGCTTTTATAGAGCGAAAAAAACGAACAGACTCATCATCAAGAAGAGTCGGGAGCACCTCCAGTGCCTCAGCGTCCGTCCACCTTGCCGTACGTACCGCCGCCAAAAATCTACAGGCGAACGCACTCCAATCGCCCCCGATGGAGAATTCTTTGACGGTTGTAAGGTGACGACTGCGACTCCTTGGCTTGCTTCCGTCCGTCGCTGACTCTTCCGGCGGTAAGTTCAGCAAGGCGTCGCAACGCGGTGTCGCCAAGATGGCGGACGATCCTCGCGGCGGCCCCAAAATGGCGGCTTCCCGCCTTCCGTGGTGCGCCACGCCCAAGATGGCGTCTTCACGCCGCGTGGCCGATGGCGGCGCCATCGAAGACAATCCGGGCTCCTGCCGATCACCACCATCACCATCCAACGCCGCCCTTGGCGTGACAAGGTCACACAACTCAGTGATGACATTTTTGAGAGTTGCCAGTTGCTCCGCCATCCGAGTCCATCTTAAATCCTCGTCCTTCAACGCAGATGGGTCGGACGAAGCGGCAACCTCCTCGACACCCGGGCCCTCACGGATCTCTCCCTCCGCCGAAGCGAAGCCGACCGCAGGAGGAAGATCGTCGTCGTCCGAAGATGAAGCCGACGCCGGAGATGGAATATTCTTTTTCCTCAATTGTTTCGCCATGCCGTTTCACTTCTGACACCAGTGTAATAAAAGGACTCAGACACTTCTTTCTGTCTTCGTGTCCTTTATTGGGTTCTTGTCTTCTCCCACACGGCACTCTGTTATAACTCTGTATTTATAGCCCCCGGCTGTTGACTGCTATTATAGCTTCCTTTCTCTTCCCGCAGACTCTCTGCTTCATCTACCGTAACCTCCTCCCTGCAGACTCGCTGCTACCCCTATGCAGACTCTCGCTGCCACCCCTATGTGCAGACCCTCTGGCTGCCTACTGTATGCAGACCCGCTGCTGACTCTGTATGCAGCCCCGCTGCTGACTCTCTGTGCAGCCCCGCTGCTGACTGCAGCCTCCTCGCTGCTTCGGGTCGGTCACCGCTGGCCAACGGTGCCGATCCTCGCTCCCCCCGTGTTCGTGGCGATCTCGCCACTCTCCGCTTCGCCCTTCGTGGCCTCTCTCTGTTCCTGGTTCCCCGTCACTCCCCATCCTCTTCCGGTTCCCCTCCTTCTATAGCTTAACCCCTCACCCCCCCACGTGACCTAACTCCTCCCCTCCTGACGTCACCTCCGGAGGGCCGTTTACGCCCGCATTACATTAACACTGTTTGACCTCCAACCATCTGTGAATACAGTTTGGGTGCGAGAAAAGAGGTAATTTTTTAACCATTCTACTGTGTTTTCGGAAACACCGAGGCAACTTATTTTACTAAGCAGGATGTTGTGGTCTACTGTATCAAAAGCTTTGAACAAGTCAAGAAAAAGACTGGCGCAGTACTGCTTATTATCAAGGCTACTGTAAATGTGATTCAGAGAGTCTAATGCAGCAGATGTGGTGCTGTATTTTTTTTGGAACCCAGATTGTTTTAGATGTAATAGTTTGTTGGCGGACAGGAAACTGCTAATTTGGTTGTTCAATAATTTTCAAAAAATTTCATCAACGGGAACAAAATTGAGATAGGTCGGTAGTTATTTCGATCATCTTTAGGACCCCCTTTGTGAAGTGGACGAACATAGGAATATTTCCAATCTAGAGGAACTGATGCTTCTTTGATGGACAGGTTGAAAATATGGGCTATAGGTTTGTATATTAGGTGACCAACAGTTAGCAGAGCAAAGACGGGAATACTATCTGCTCCGGTAGAGGAGGACCCTTTGAGGTAGGACAGTTGTTTCAGAACATTACTTTCGTGGATTGTCTGAAAACTAAATTCGCTTAATGTTTGGATAGGGGTGTAGGAATTTGCATGAGCAGGGGTGACTCCCAATACATTATCAAATAGGGTACCAGCTTCATAAAAATGAAGGTTAAAATGGTCAACTATTTTTTGGGGATCTAAAAAATATTCCCCATTTCGGTTAAGCTGAACGGGCAGATTATCTGTTTTGGATGCCTTTTCGATACATTTGATTGTTTTCCAGAAAATCCTGGCATTTCCATGAGATTCAAAGAGAGTGGAAGAGAAGTAGTAATTTTTTGCATGCCGTGTTTTTTTGACGCATCTATTCCTTAAAGTCCTGTATTCTAGTCAGTCATTGACCAAATTACTTTTCTGAGCACATGTCCAAGCCTTGTCCCTAGTTTTCATGAGCTTTGTAATCAAAGGATCAAACCATGGTGGACGGTTGCCTTTAGTTTTAAATTTAACCAACGGAGCATGTTTGTTAAGAATTTGCAGAAACGTGTACCTGAAAGTCTCCCAAGCCGTAGTCAGGTTTGGAATATCACAGACCTTGTCAATATCCTATTGAAGCACATCATTAGTAAATGCCTGAGTGCTGAAGTGTCTCATGGAGTGCTTCTCAACCAATTTAGGGGGGGCTTTGGGTCTGGCTGATGATCTCACCCCAAAAATGAAGGAGTGATCACTAAGGTTATTACCCAGAACACCAGTCAGTGCGAAATTGTGAGGGGCATTTGTCAATAGGACGTCAAGCAGAGATGACTGTCCCGGATTTTTTAGGTTGGGTCTTGTGGGGACATTTATTAATTGAAACAGGTTAAATTCATCTGCAAAATTTGTGGCCACGGCCGGCGGGTTTAGCCAATTCCAATTTAGATCACCCACTAAAACTATTTCACCTTTAGGGAGGCCCCCAAGAAGCTCTCTCAGTGCAGATGCAGCTTCAACATCCTTCCCACTAGGCGGTCTATAGCAACACACTACTAATATGTGTTGATTATTAGGGAGAGTTATTCTGAGAGCCAGACCTTAAAAGCCACATGTTACCGTGGTGATGATGCGACAGTGATGACGTGGTGATGACGCGACAATGATACCGTGGTGATGATGCGACAGTGATGACGCGGTGATGATGTGACAGTGATGACGCGGTGATGATGCGACGGTGATGACGCGACGGTGGTGACGCGGTGGTGACGTGGTGATGATGTGGTGTTACCGTGGTGATGATGCGACAATGATACAGTGGTGATGACGTGGTGATGATGCGGTGGTGTTGCTGTGCACAGGCGCAGGCCAGTCTCCAAAAGACGTTCACGGGGCAAGGAGAGAAGGCGGCGAACCAGTACGAGCGCGAGCGCAGCTCCATTCTCAAGCAGACAGAGAAGACCCTGGCTAAGAAAGGGTAAACCTCCCCGTCTTCTACTCTCCAATTGCCCTCATCCACCCTTCATCTCGGCTCCACCCTCCTCGCTCCACCCTCCCTGCTCCACCCTCACCGCTCCACTCCCTCGGCTCCATCCTCCCCGCTCCACCCTCCCTGTTGCACCCTCGCTGACGCCGCTCGTTTCGACCGAGCCGAGCGCCTCCGAGTACGAACGTGTGCTGCGCCGTGGGTGTGTGTCTGCCCTTCTCCAGCGAAGGTCACTGTGCCGGCCTGCAAAAGGAAACGGAGAAGCGGGTGGAGGAGCTTACCGCCGAGCACCAGCGCAAGGTGAGGCCTCCACCGCACAGGACAGGCACTACGGTGTGTCACGACGACCACGGGTCCCGTGAACTTCGCTCGGGGATTCCTCCTCCGCCCGCGTTGAGGACTCGGTCTCTACCAGACACTGACTGTGTCGTCTCACTACTCCACTGTCTTCAGTAACCACCTTTTGGGCCTCCTGTGCTGAGAGACTGAGTTAAAAACGGAGCACAGAGCCAACGGTCCGCAGCCAAGAGCGGGACAGCTCGCCGCCTTCGCGCGCATCTGGTCCGCCACTTGAACAACAAAAGTTATAATTGGTTCTTTACCCTTCTATCTGGCAACAAAACTGACACCTTTTTGCAAGGAGTCATGTTTGCATAGACCGCAATACCTGCAGTCATAATACAAACAAAAGAACATAACTCTGATAATGTGCACTGTCCTTGAAGTTGATTGGTCCACACCCGAGACAGCTTTCCTTCGAGCCTAGTCTCATATGGGTTGGACCAGATGACGCCAAAAGGCGCACAACTCAAGGACAACGCACCATCAGAGTATGAGAGCTCGGGGCAAGCATCTACACTATGGGGACCTCATTTGCCAGTAAAAATATGATAATTGGTTCTTTACCCTTCTATCTGGCAACAAAACTGACACCTTTTTGCAAGGAGTCATGTTTGCATAGACCGCAATACCTGCAGTCATAATACAAACAAAAGAAGGAGTCATGTTCTTTTGTTTGTATTATGACTGCAGGTATTGCGGTCTATGCAAACATGACTCCTTGCAAAAAGGTGTCAGTTTTGTTGCCAGATAGAAGGGTAAAGAACCAATTATCATATTTTTACTGGCAAATGAGGTCCCCATAGTGTAGATGCTTGCCCCGAGCTCTCATACTCTGATGGTGCGTTGTCCTTGAGTTGTGCGCCTTTTGGCGTCATCTGGTCCAACCCATATGAGACTAGGCTCGAAGGAAAGCTGTCTCGGGTGTGGACCAATCAACTTCAAGGACAGTGCACATTATCAGAGTTATGTTCTTTTGTTTGTATTATGACTGCAGGTATTGCGGTCTATGCAAACATGACTCCTTGCAAAAAGGTGTCAGTTTTGTTGCCAGATAGAAGGGTAAAGAACCAATTATCATATTTTTACTGGCAAATGAGGTCCCCATAGTGTAGACAACAAAAGTTATTTAGTTTTTCACACATCAGCCACACGGCATTGGTTCAAGAACGCCATGGCAACGTTATCTACGTTGCCATGGCGTTGTCTACGTTGCCATGGCGTTGTTGTCTACGTTGTTGCGCAACCCGACCGACGGCACGACCGCCTCACGTCCCGTCCCGCGCGGAGCAGATGCAGGTGCTGCAGGCGGAGCGGGCGCGCGAGCAGGCGGCGCTGCAGGTGCTGCAGGCGCGCAGGCAGGAGGAGGCGCGGACGGCGCACACCGCGCAGCAGGACGAGCTGGTGCGCGCGCTGCTGGCAGGCGCGCACGAGCAGCAGCTCCGGCAGCTGCAGCTCACGCATGAGCGGTGAGGTCTACCGCCGCCGCCACCGCCGCCACCGCTGCCACGGGGATCGTCTTGTCAGTTTGCGAGTCTCAGGCCCGGGGTCGCCCGGGGTCGCCACGTGCCCGGGTTTGACGCAGACGGGTCCGCTGCTATGGTGCTACTCCTCGTATTTATTACGTCGAGATGCGTCGCAGCAGGCTGCGTGGTGTGGATAGCGTCAGGCTGGCCGATAGATGTGTGCGGCGTCAGTCTGTGGGAAAGGTGGCGACCCTGCCTGCACCTTGAGCTCCTCCTCCTGGCTAACTCCACTGCCTTTTTTCTCTCCGCCTGATGACGACCGCTTGTGTTGCGATCAAAACGTCGTGAGTTTTTGGTTTTGATAATTTTTTAAATTTTATTCTTATTCTATTTATTTTATTAACTTCTATCTACGTGACTTAACCGAAAGAACCAAAGAATATGAACTCCACTGCACTTTGCCTTTCAGAGTGACGGTGGATGTGTGTGGGTGTGTGAATCTATGGGTCTATATGCAAGTCTGTGGGTCTCTACATGAGTCTGTGAGTCTCTATTTCTTACCGCGGGTCTCTATTTGGGAACCCACCGCAAGTACATTCCTGTTTTTCATTGAATCCAACTGCACGCGTTGGCACCCGAGACTGGGAAACCCGAGGCGGACACTGCAGCCTCCGCGGACTGGACGCACGCGCAGAAAGTCCCATTTTCCGAATGGCGATTGCTCGTATCGGTTACTGCTTGGATGGTGCCTTTTGTTTTGCCGCTGGCCGCTTGACGTTTTTATGCTTTGGGCCTGGACTTCCCAGGGACACGAAGCAGCTGGAGGGGACCCAGGCCAAGCAGTCGATGGAGGAGAGCAAGCTCATCAGCCAGGACCACAGCATCAAGAACAAGGCCGAGAGGGAGCGGTAGGGCCCTTGCGCTGGCATTCACCCAGCGTGCACTTGCCATTTTACTATTTCTATTTGACCAGGTAAAGCCCACTGACCTATGTAGCTCTTCTTCAGAAGCGACCTGGCCACAGATGATAGTTCAACGAAGTGGCTTATCATCATGTGGAAATTTATAGCAGCCAAATACTCTTCAACGCACGTTGATTCTAAATGTGGAGTGGAAAACCGGAGGACCCGCAGAAACATCTACGCGACCACGGGGAGAGAGACATGCAAACTCCAAATATACAGGCGTCAGTGTCGGGATCAGAGGTGAGGTAGTTAACATTTCCTCGCCACCGCGGCACCCTTAACATTGACAGTCTTTCTCTTTGCATACTGTTTACAGTCTGTTACTCTATAACGCGGTGGTAGTTGTGTTTCTGAAGAACACCACGTTATGAAACAATTGCGTTATAATAATAACCATTGATTCAATGGGAATTAAGGCGTTAAGGGGTTAGTAGAGTTCGAAAACTCCAGCATGACTGACATTTTTCATGATAATTGATTCTATTAATGTCAATTTGACGTGTTCTTTTATAATGACTGTGTTTTAGTGCGATAAAACAATTAGTTAATTAAATAAACACGCGAACATTTTTGAAAAATGCACGTTACAGTGTTAGTCACTAAGCGATAGAAAGCGTAGTCATGGAGGAGGGTGAAGAGAGAAGACGATGAAGGAGGGTGTGAAGTGACTCACATAACAGCTTTCAATAATAACATACTTTTTAAGTTAAAACCGTAAGAAATGCTTGAGACGAGTAGGGTAAAGCACAGTCTGCGATAACATGTGAAATGCGTACGCAGGCCGAACAAAGACCGAGGCGCGTGGGTAGCGTCTAGAAGCATCCAGCAGCTTCCCGCTGCCTCGTGCGACGCTACGCCGAGTCAGCCGCACGGCCGCTTATTCCTACTCGCGCGACGCAGTTCCGTTCACTTGATTGCGTTATATCCAATTCGCGTTGTGAAAACAACACGTGGCGTTATTGCAGAACTGACATGGCCTTTAGGTGGGCATTCGTCTGCCAGTAGAAGGCAACCAATGCTGCTGTTGTTGCTGTGTGGAGCCCCAGTTGCAGTCAAGTGCGGCACATCTCTTAATTATTGACGTGTCGTGCGACGCGCTCGTCTCTGCTCTGATTTAGATTCAGGTTATTTTTGCCCTGATTTCTATTTGCTTAATTTCTGTCGTCATTTTAGTATTTTAACTTCTGCATTCCTATGATGGGGGCAAATCTGTCCATGGGGCAACGACGGACTCTTAGACTTTCCAACAAAGTGGAACACAATTATCGAGCCCACAGCGGTGATGGGCTGAGTCAACGCCCAACAAGGATTTGAACTGCCAACATTCCGATTGCGGGCCCCTCACTCTGCCGCTGAGCCAGGCGGCTGGGTGAACGGTCATGAACCACCGGATTATTTGAGAGAATCGAGGGAATCTGTCCAATGACATTCAGCGCGCGCCCCTCTGCCGTTTCGAAAGACAAAGGTCCCCCCTGTATAATTTTAACAGACTGTAGGGGCAAGTGCTGTTAACGAGCACTTATAAGGCCGGAACGGTACACGAGGGGGTGGGTGGCCAGCACCACGCCCGACCGCCTATGTCTCCCTAATGGCGATGTTTACACATCACACAAGGTACTCATTTGAGGCTGAGTCGACCTAGGGAAGGCCCAGGACCGGTTCAGATAATCGTCAATGGTGTTTCCCGTGAGCGGGAATCAAACTCGGGTCGCCGGGTTCATAGCGTAGTGCGCTAACCACTGCACCACCGCCATTAACACACACATCAGCACCAGTGCCTGATTATCGTAGTAGCAAATGTAGTATATGCTACGGGCCCCGCGCTAAATGCTTTCAAGCTATCAATTCCGGTTCGGTGATTCTGCACTTGCTCTATTACGAGAGTACTATACTGCCTTCAACTTTTATGAACGACTGAATGTTTAAGGTTAGTGATTTGTCATATTCTGGCTGTATAGCAAATGAAGAAATACAATTACTTTATTATGCAAGTTAAACATTTATGTGTTTTAATATTTGAGTGTTTTTCTTTTAAGGCCTCTTTATAACATAAGCTACAGGCCCCGCACTAGCTTAATCCTGATCAGCACAGACATCGCAGCGGGGTTCGCATCCCGCTGTTTACCTGCCGCAGACTGAGTGCGAGCTTCGACACCACGGTGGGATGACTCGTGCGGAGTCGTCACACCGGCCCCTTGTTGCTGGTTGCGTCTCCCCCTCTAGGCGGCTGCGGGAACTGATCGCCAACAACACCAAAAAGTTCGTGGAGGAGAGGAAGAGGGTGAGTGACTTAGAAACGTGTCCGCCTCTCCTCTACCCCTCGGGCTGTTCGGCGCAAACACACACGCACACTCTCACACGTGAGTGTTGATACTGGCATTGCTGTCTGTTGTGAGCGAGCGCACGCTGCATGGGATGTGTACAAAAAATTAACCCGTAAAAACTAAGTTTTTCACTATAAATCCTTTATATGCGTGGCGGCTAGAGTCCTCTCGTCCTCTGGCTTGAGATGGCTGCCACCTATGGGTCAGATGATTGCCTGCCACCATTAAGCAATTGGTAATTAAATATAAAAAAAATCCTAAAAAGTGTAAAATTTTGGGGAAAAAATTTCACGAAAATACATTGTCACCCACAACGAGTCTGTGTGCAAAATGTCAGCTCGATTGGATCACGGGAAGTGGGTTAAAAAACGACCGAAAAATTTGCACGGTCGTAAGCGCGCAAGCAAGCAAGTGAACTTAATATAAAGGATTAAAAAAATACGTGGAGGGACAGGTATGGGAGTTTTGAATACAGCAAGAACCCTTATCTAACACTGACAGAGGCTCCTTGCCTATACACATCTGGCAGTTCACCAGCATTGGTTCCTGCGAGCCGCCAATAAGACACTGAATTTCACAAGTGGTACAAAGTTTGTGCGTGTTTTTATATGGCGATGGACCTGGGAAGGAGGCGAATGGCCTGCTTCGCTATTTTGTTACGTTGCACATGCGGCTGTGTGCCTGCTGCGTGCAGCTCCAAGGGAAGCAGGGTCGGGAGATGGAGATGATCCGCAAGGTGCAACTGGAGCAGCAGGAGACTTTGCGGGTGCAGCAGGAAAAGGTTTGTACCACGTGTGAACGCCTGAGTGAAGCACCGATTCATTGGCCATTACATTATTTGCTTTGCTGGAGCCAACCCGGCCATGTGGCTCAGTGGTTGGAAGGTTATGAGTTCAAATCCTGGTTGGGGATTGACTCAGCTCAACTTCCCTTCAGTCAATAAAACGTGTACCACTCAGTGTTGGGGTAAGTCAGCAGTGTATGCATGCATATATGTTGAACTTCCTTCGCACTGTACTTAGCTCACCGTGGATAGAATTCCTTCCACCATAGGAATATGGAAAGTCCATCACCAGCTCATGGCTGTGAACAGAAGATGAAGACTGCCTCAATTATCATTTGAGCCGGAATTCGCTTCACCTTGGCCCATTCAAGCAGGCACCAGGGCACAGCCTGTATTTCCAGTTAGCACAAGGGACTTACAATCCAGGTCTCCCATTCTTAAATCTCCCCTCTTATGTCCACCCAGCTGTAAACATATGGACACCTCAGTCGATCGGCAGGTCACGTGTGGTGGGGTAAAGTGTGGGTACTCCCACCTCTTCCAAGCCGTCTAATCAGTGTGGATGTGTAGGCCAAATACCCTCTTGGGCTCCCTTCAGTGGATTCACTTACACCAGTAGCGGCGTGAGCAAGACATTGCAGGGCTGCGCATCTTACCCTGTATCTGAAAAACGTGGCAGGCAAATTAACCACGTGGTGACGTGGACCGCTGTGCCATTCGTAGGTTCGCACGCACACGGCACTCGTTACGTTCCACCAAGATCGGCGACCAGTTTTGTAGATGGGCGGGAACGGTCGACCGGTTCTCGTTGGGCGCCTCTACGGGCCCGCACTACGCTGCTGCCGCCGCAACCGAGAATGACCTGAAGCCGCGTGCACGCGTGTCTTTGTACTGCCAAGGTCAAGCGCAACACCCCCGAGGTGACAGGGAGCCGGTGAACGGCACCGGCCGTGGACGCGGGCGAGCACGGCGACGTGGACGCCACGGGTTGCGGGAGCTGGCCTCGTTGCTCCGCCGATGCAGCATCGGCCACGGGTGACGGTGGGCCCCGACAGCCCCCGGACGCGGCGGTCGTGGAGAAAAAAAGTGAACGTCGTGATCTCGGATTCACCCACGTTCACTTTTCAAGGCGTCTCGTCGAGGAGCCGTCTATTCTCAGAAGTGTGGGCCATTCGCACACTCTGAACAAACTGGAATACTATAAAACTTTGATAAATTAGTCGATTTTTTTTAAATCCGTGTGCCTACTATATACCGTTCTCGGGCAATGGCTTTCATCATTTTAAGTATATTTACGAAATGGTTGTGAATAATATATATGATAAATGTAGATTATAATAACTGAACATTATCATATGAATATAATGTTGTTGTGAACACCGGCCTGACGACTGTGGCTGTTTTACTCGCATGGGAAGATAAAAAGCACATGCTCTTCGCCAATATGGCTGAAGCGTAATTGAGAGACAACAGGACCCGTGTTCAGCCCTAGGAGCTCTCCGACCAGAGGAGGTACTCGTGACCCCGAGTTTCTCCCATCCCACACGGCTCCCGGTTGATGCTGCCACTCCTCTCTCCGGCTGATCGTGCGATCAGTGCTCAATCGGGGAAGTGGAAACAGTCGCCGTAACTACTGGGGAAAGACACCGAGTCGGTGGTACCACTGTCCCCACAGATGTTTATTTGTAGAAAGGATCCGTGTCCAACCAAACTCTCCCTGGGTTACGCTGACCCATTCGTGGTCCTTCCAAATGCCGCGTGTTCAACAATGTGTTGGGATGCCTTCTCTCGTTGTAATGTAATGCTCGAATTTTGAGGGTTTGGATAGTCGGGCTGCCACCTTTCACAGGCCAGACCCGGACACCTATCTCAGTCGGCCTAGGTCTGTTATCAACACTGTGCAGTTTATTGATGTAAAGTTCAACACAATACCTTTACCAGATCTCGGTACAAATTAATTACTACACCAATTACACCAGACTGTCCGGGTCAAATCCAGACGAGTGGCGACCCAAGGTTTGTGTTAGGGGTTGGGTTTAGGGGTTGGGGTTTAAGGTTAGGGACAGTAGGACCCATTTGTGGGGACCATTCTCAGCCGTGAAATGGACAGACTGTCACGAGTAATGTAGAAAAAGTTATGTTCCACAGCCCAATATGTACACCATTGGTTTCAAACTCCAGGTACAGCACAAATGGAACTGTTTGTATCGTCACAAGTGTCAGGTATTCTTGTATTTGGGATGCAACGGGTAATAAAAGACACTTTGTACCCAAGGCGTCCGTGTCCAACTGCAGTGTTAAGCCTGCCATCATTCAGCTGGCATGTCCCATCCATAACACTCGCACGTGTCACCACCCACGCAACACCCACACCCTCACAACACCCACAGCCTGACATCCACACAACACCCACACACTGACACCCTCACAACACCCTCACCCTGACACCCACACCCACATAACACCCTCACCCTGACACCCACACAACACCCTCACCCTGACACCCTCACCCACACAACACCCACACCCTGACACCCACACCCTGACACCCTCACAACACCCTCACCCTGACACCCCCATAACACCCACACCCTGACACCCACACAACACCCACACACTGACACCCTCACAACACCCTCACCCTGACACCCACACCCACATAACACCCTCACCCTGACACCCACACAACACCCTCACCCTGACACCCTCACCCACACAACACCCACACCCTGACACCCACACCCTGACACCCACACAACACCCACACCCTGACACCCACACCCTGACACCCACACAACACCCTCACCCTGACACCCACACCCTGACACCCACACAACACCCACACCTTGACACACTCACAACACCCTCACCCTGACACCCTCACAACACCCACACCCTGACACCCTCACAACACCCACACCCTGACACCCTCACAACACCCACACCCTGACACCCACACAACACCCTCACCCTGACACCCTCACAACACCCACACCCTGACACCCTCACAACACCCACACCCTGACACCCTCACCCACACAACACCCACACCCTGACACCCCCATAACACCCACACCCTGACACCCACACAACACCCTCACCCTGACACCTTCACAACACCCACACCCTGACACCCTTACAACACCCACACCCTGACACCCCCATAACACCCACACCCTGACACCCTCGCAACGCCCACACAACACCCACACCCTGACACCCACACAACACCCTCACCCTGACACCCTCACAACACCCACTCCCTGACACCCACACAACACCCTCACCCTGACACCCTCACAACACCCACTCCCTGACACCCCCATAACACCCACACCCTGACACCCTCACAACACTCTCACAACACCCACACCCTGACACCCTCACAATTCCCACACCCTGACACCCCCATAACACCCACACCCTGACACCCTCACAACACCCACACCCTGACACCCTCACAACACCCACACCCTGACACCCTCACAACACCCTCACAACACCCTCACCCTGACACCCTCACCCTGACACCCATACAACACCCACACCCTGACACCCCACAACACCCTCACCCTGACACCCTCACAACACCCTCACCCTGACACCCACACCCTGACACCCACACAACACCCACACTCTGACACCCACACAACCTCACCCTGACACCCTCACAACACCCACACCCTGACACCCTCACAACACCCACACCTTGACACCCTCACCCTGACACCCTCACAACACCCTCACCCTGACACCCTCACAACACCCACACCCTGACACCCACACAACACCCTCACCCTGACACCCTCACAACACCCTCACCCTGACACCCTCACAACACCCTCACCCTGACACTCTCACAACACCCACACAGACACCCACACAGCACCCACACCCTGACACCCTGACACCCACACAACACCCACACCCTGACACCCTCACAACACCCTCACCCTGACACCCTCACAACACCCATACCCTGACACCCACACAACACCCACACTCTGACACCCACACAACACCCTGACACCCTCACAACACCCACACCCTGACACCCTCACAACACCCTCCCCCTGACACCCTCACAACACCCACACCCTGACACCCTCACAACACCCTGACACCCTCATAACACCCTCCCCCTGACACCCTCACAACACCCTGACACCCTCACAACACCATGACACCCTCACAACACCCTCACCCTGACACCCTCACAATACCCACACCCTGACACCCTCACAACACCCTGACACCCTCACAACACCCTCACCCTCGCCCACACCATTGGCACCCTGTTCCTCATGTTCATATCCAGACCCCCTCACCCGACACACCCTGACAACTTCAGTCACATCCAGAAACTGACACAACAAAGAAAACAAAGTTTGGCACGGAACACGAGGGTGGGTGGCCATGCAGCACCACGCCCGGCCGCCTTTGTCTCCCCAGCGCATGGTGTTTTACACACCGCACCAGGTACGCATTTGAGGCTGAGTCGACCTAGGGGAGGCCCAGGACCGGTTTAGATAATCGTCGCCGGTGTTGGCCGTGAGTGGGAATCGAACCCAGGTCGCCGGGTTCGTAGCGCAGCGCGCTAACCGCACCACCACCGCTCCCCACAAGCCACAGTGTGCCACACGCACACAAGCACAGAGATATCTCCACTCCGTCGAAGGTCCTCTGCTCACATCCATTTGACATTCACAACCGCAGCCCCCACAGACTTGTCAAGCACAGCAGTGAGAGTGGAGCTGACCCAGTCGTTACGATTTCATATTCTCGCACCGCATTGGAAGACCGCGTCTACAGGGGGTGGCGGTGGTGGGGGTTCGTCCCTTGTGTATGATCGGCTTCGGGGCCCGAGTCGAGTCTGAAGGTCGATCTCCAGGCGGGGCCCTGCGTCCACACGGGCCTTGCGCGCCCTCCTCCACGGGCTCGCCGCACACGTCTCCCTCGGGGTTTCGCCGTCGCTGTGAAATTCAATCCCCCGCCGCCACCCGCGTGGCCCCGTGCCACCACCACCACCCCCCCCCCCCCGGGGCTGGGAGGAGGGGCTGAGGCTCTACCGAAGGCCCCGAGCTCCGAGTCCCGCCGCGGGGTCGCGACTTGGGGTCACCGTAGCCACGGGCACCGCCTGGAGGAGGCTGGAGCCGGGGCCCCGAGCGCGCGGAGAAGGCGGCGGGACTGAGGACGAGGTCCCCCATGGTGAGGAAGAGGAGGGAGAAGTGGCCGACTCTGTCCGCATGGAGCTTTTGGTTCGGGTCGAGGGCCTTCAAATGAGGTGAGGCCCCGCTGAGGCGACAGGCAACCACCCACGGAGTCGCTCCGTCTCGCCCATTGCGGAGACGACCCCGAGGCCCCCCCCCCCCCACCAACCGTGGGCAGGGGGCCTGAGCTGGCCTCCCTCGCGGGGCGGACGTGGGCGGGTGGATGATGTTGCGGTCGATGTGATGGAAGGGCAGGGTGGAGAAGGTCGAGAAGGCGAATGGCATGCGGACCCCACTTGTTCACTTGTTGCAGTCGGGACAAATCCGCTCCACGTGTTGTCAGTGCCGGATGAAGCTGGTGCGGGGCCTGTAGCATATGTTGTTATAAAGGGGCCCTAGATAAGAAAAGCACATTAAGACACAATTTAAAAAAATGAAAAGTGAAGTAATTGTATTTTTTTATTTGCTATACGGCGTACAATACGAAAAAAAGCTAACTTTAAACACTCAGTCGTTCATAAAAGTTAAATGCAGTATAGTACTGTAGTAATAGAGCAAGTGCAAAATCATTGAACCGGAATTGATAGCTTGAAAGCATTTAGCGCAGGGCCCTTAAAAGTGCGGGGCCCGTAGCTACTACATGTGTAGGTACTTGTGCTACTAGGAGAATCCGGCACTGGCTCCGTACGGTGCGAAAGAAGTTCAACATACGGTACAGTGCGTACAAAACGTGGATAATAGAGACTCGTTGAAGGTTCGTTCAGTGCTTCATCCACAGCAGTGCCGACACCCTGGGCACTTGAAGGAAAGGAGGTACATAACTGTGTTACAAATGAGAATATCTCTCTTTATTCGTGTACAGTTGGAATAAAAATGGAAAATGTAATTTAAAAAAATTAACAACTAAATTTTGCACACACGCCATTGCACTCACAATAACAAATAATCCCCATCGACACGAGGAAACATTTTTGACAAGTTCATAATTGGCTGTAAATCTTTTCCTGGGTTTCTCGACTTCTCGTGCGCGCGTGAGACCGAGCCCACCACGCACGTGGTAGTGGCGGGTTCACCGGCACGTGCGTGTGTGTGGTGTGTGTGTGTGGTGTGTGTGTGTGGTGTGTGTGTGTGGTGTGTGTGTGTGGTGTGTGTGTGTGGTGTGTGTGTGTGGTGTGTGTGCAGTCACCTCAAGGACAATGATACCCGCCCCCCCCCCCCGTAGCCTTAACAGACTGGTGGGGCAAGTGCTGTTAGCGAGCACCTATGAAGGCCGGCACGGTACACGAGGTCGTGCGTGGCCAGCACCACGCCCGACCGCCTTTGTCTCCCCAGTGGCGATGTTTACACACCGCACCAGGTACTCAGTTGAGGCGGAGTCGACTTTGGGGGAGGGCCCATGACCGGCTCAGATAATCGCCACTGGTGTTGGTGACCGCGAGCGGGAATCGAACTCGGGCCGACGGGTTCGTAGCGCAACGCCGCTAACCATTGCGCCACCGCTTCCCGCTAACTGTTGTGCCACCGCTCCCCACGCTCACCTCACGCAGGTGAACACGAGCATCGCCACCTCACAGGGCTCGCCACGGACAAGCCATATCACGCGGCGTGGTTGTATTTTGTTTATATCCTTTCATAAACGAATGCTAGTTATTGTTGTTGACAGAATTAGTGGAGTTGCACTCTGGGGTTTGGATGCATAGGGTAACGTTGGATTTCTCCACAATCAGCTCTTGAGGATCGCTGCCAATGTATATTTGCTTTGCCCCAAAGTTCCCTTCCAATTGATCTCAGAAAACAACAAGAGGGCACCCGGGGGGGCGGGGAGCGACGACTTGGCGACAAAGGTGGCTTCCGTTTGAGAGTATTTATGGGTTTCGCGTGGTTTTTTTTGGTGGTGAGCAGTGTTGAGTCACGGGAGCAGCAGCGACTTATTGGCTCTCGCGGGAGTTGACAAGACGGTGGAGACGACGGCGAGCTGCCAGCAGCGGCGGCAGTGGCGCGCAGCGGCGTGCCGGAGCGGTCTTTGAGAGCGCACAGAGAGCGGCACGGCGGCCACACCTCGTGAGGTCAGTACAGCTCAGGGTGACGGTGCTGGTGTCAGTACAGAGTGACGGTGCTGGTGTCAGTGCAGGGTGACGGTGCTGGTGTCAGTACAGAGTGACGGTGCTGGTGTCAGTGCAGGGTGACGGTGCTGGTGTCAGTGCAGGGTGACGGTGCTGGTGTCAGTACAGAGTGACGGTGCTGGTGTCAGTGCAGGGTGACGGTGCTGGTGTCAGTACAGAGTGACGGTGCTGGTGTCAGTGCAGGGTGACGGTGCTGGTGTCAGTACAGAGTGACGGTGCTGGTGTCAGTGCAGGGTGACGGTGCTGGTGTCAGTACAGAGTGACGGTGCTGGTGTCAGCTCAGGGTGACGGTGCTGGTGTCAGTACAGAGTGACGGTGCTGGTGTCAGCTCAGGGTGACGGTGCTGGTGTCAGTGCAGGGTGACGGTGCTGGTGTCAGTACAGGGTGACGGTGCTGGTGTCAGTACAGGGTGACGGTGCTGGTGTCAGTGCAGGGTGACGGTGCTGGTGTTAGTGCAGTATGACGGTGCTGGTGTCAGTACAGTGACGGTGCTGGTGTCAGTACTGTGACGGTGCTGGTGTCAGCTCAGCTCAGGGTGACGGTGCTGGTGTCAGCTCAGGGTGACGGTGCTGGTGATGTCAGTACAGCTCAGGGTGATAGTGCTGGTGTCAGTACAGCTCAGGGGTGACAGTGCTCAGTGCTAAGTATCATTACAGACTCCTTGGTTCTTTCGGTATAAAATAAAATCAGTACAGCTCAGGGTGACAAACCATGCCAGTGCTGTGCGAAGTTGACTGTTGTTTGTGATGCTCAGTGTTGGTGCATCTCAGATTGACAGTACAGTGCATTCCGTGGTCCTCTTCATCGCAGCTCAGCAACAGTACTTGTCAGTCCAAATTGAGGCATAATACCGATCGGCGCAGTTGAGGGTGAGTACTCGTCACCGCTGCACCGTGACCGGGTGACTTGCAGGTGAGCGGCATGACTGCTGCCACTACTCGGCAGGGTGGTTTCGTGAGAGTGGCATCTGTAGTGGGCACTGCCTTACAGCACAGGAGGGGGTACCTGCAGCACAGCTCACTGGCATGGGCTTTCTTGGGCGTCTTGATGTGATGTCAGATACGATCTGCCCTATTTTCGTTACCGTCACGGCACAGGCGGTGCAGATAATGACCACATATCTATCCCCGCTGCTCGCCGCAGCAGTGCACGTTTTGTTGTTTGCTTTCAAGTTGTGTTTTAAAGAGAAAAGAGGGTTGAGGAGGCCCGTGCCATCCGGTCCCTTGACCGTGGTCCCAGCCCACGATTTGGGCTTCCTGCCAGTGCCACGAGCACTCGGGGTAAGAATAGCTTGTTTTGGGAACTGCTTCTTGTCGCATGTACAAGCCCTCGCTGGGGATGTGAGCACACAGCCTCTATCAGGCATCCAGCGCGGAAGACATCCCCTCTGCCCTACTCGGACAGTTCTTGGGAGATGAGATGAACTCAAGTTCAAGTTCATTTATTAGGTATAGCCCTGTGAGCCATTCGGCTCTTGAATCGGGTGCAACCGCAACAAACAGAAAACAAAAACATGAACAACTGATAGGTTCGTCGCAAGTTGACGTGCGTATCAATTGGATTGCGTGTTCTACTAGTTCAGTTTCTTTTCTTTAGCCAGATGAGTACAGTCTGCTCAGCTGCCACGCATGTCTTTATAACGCGAATTTGATATAACGCGATAAATGTATTAGGGAACACAATTTTTTTTATAACGCGGATTGGAATTGGATAGAACGCGACTGAGTGAACAAAACTGCGTCGCGCAAGTAGGAATAAGTGGTTGTGCGGCTGCCTCGGCGTAGCATCGCACAAGACAGACACACAAGCAGAGAGAGACTCACACAGAGACAAACAGAGAGAGAGACACACACACACATAGGCACCTATGTGTGTGTGTGTCTCTCCAACCATGTGTGTCTCCGTGTCTATGTTTTGTCTCTCAAATTTATCAATCTTTGGAAGAACGTAATCAACCAGGTGGGGTGTTGACTGTTTTGTTGGCCGACTCTCTGTGTTGTATTGCATTATATTTCCAAGTTTACTATGTTTGTTTTCTCATTCATTTGTACCTGATGATGGTTGCTTGTGTTGCAATCGAAACGTCGTGTTATATTATTTAATTTAATTTATTTCTACGTGACTTTACCGAAAGAACCAAAGAGTAATTCTTGCGGTCACGAAAACTTCGAATCTAGTCAGGGTTGTCACGTAAACAGAACATGCCAATTGGTCACTAGTACAGCACATCGGTGTGTTGGAGAGCCAAGCCACAACATTTAAAAACTGAGTACGACGTTTCGCCAGTAATTACAACCAGCATCATCAGGCGACAGCCAGATTTGGCTTCGTCGGGTGGAGGAGGCTGTACGTCACACATTTTACTTGTGTATGTATGTTGAACTTCTTTCGCACTGTACGTAGCCAACCATGCGTATTGGAGGTGCGCACTTGTGCAATCTGACCCCCCCCACCAAAATTATTAAGATTCAGGACTAGTCCCCTTTGCAAGAGTGACCCATCTCATGAAAATTGTGAAAGCAATGATCCAAATCGAAGTTGGAGCAAAAACACCTCGCGCTCCAGAAGACGTTGATAACGGTGCACAAACGTAAATAAATAGCTAAATGATTTCCTGGAACAAAAGTCGGCTCGGAAAAAAAAACTTGTTTTTTTGAACCGTAGTAGAGGCGTTGTTGACGCAAGCAATGCCGGCCGGTTGGTTTCATGAGCATCATCTACATGATGAGGGGGGGGGGGGGGGTGGCGGTGGTGTCATCGTCTTGCTCAGGAAAACTGAATGATGCGGGTGGCACCTTTGCGCACTTGGAACGAAGCCCTGCAGTGGCTCGGTGACCCAGTGCGAGTCCATCGTAAAACCCTGTGGTGCTGACTCACAGAGTGTGCAGTGCCCGGCGGCTATGAGTGGGATGATGCGAGTTGCCCCCAGGAAGGGTACACATCGTTTCCAGAAAGTCACATGGGCCGGTTGCATGCGGTTTGGGAAACGGCATTTTTTCCATTGTCATAATTAAGGCTTATCTCAATTGAACCGCAGTGAAATCGGCCAATCCTGGGCTAAGCACTGCTGTCTGGGGGGAGCCCATTAGGCGTGCGTGAGTCTAATGCGATGCCGTGCTCGAGTTGAGCGTGCAGCCCGCCGCTGCGATATCCCTTCCCGTGTTGATGCGAGCCCTGGGGAGCAGCGCTGTTTACAGAGGCGTTCTGTAAACAGCGCTGCTTTAATTGCTCTATCACAAGACCACAGGCATTAAGGGCTTGTTGTTCCGGAATTCTGTCAACCAAAGTGGCTTATGAAAAAGTGTTGTCAGTTTGTGAGTGAATTTCACTCATTTATTTCTCCACCCATGCTGAGGCCTCGGTTTCCCAGTTTCATCCCATTCACACTGTTCAACCGCCACACCGCTGGTCACAACAACACACACATCCACCCACTCACTCGCCCACAAAGACAACGATCCCCCAGTACAGCCTTACAAGACTGTTGAGGTAAGTGCTGTTAGCAGGGTACCCATGAAGGCCGGAACGGCACATGAGGGGGTGGGTGGCCAGCACCAGCGTCCGGCTGCCTTTGTCTCCTTAAAGACAGCTTTTTTACACACACACTTGGTAATCAATTGAGGCTGAGTCGACCTAGGGGAGGCCCAGTACTGGTTCAGAGAATCGTCACTGGCGTTGGCCGTGAGCGGGAATCGAACTCGGGTCGCCGGGTTCGTAGCGCAGCGCACCAACTGCTACTCTACCGCTCCCCACACTCACTCATACTCACCCACCCACTCGCCACACTGCCCCCTTCATTTCTCTTTCTGCTCTTTCCCTTGCGCTGCTCCACTTTAGAATTCCCTCCCATCACCCATTTTTGGAAGCCCAATTCAAGAAGCTTTGTTAACTCGTTTTGAATCAAACTTTTGTAGTGCAGTTTGTTGCTGGCTTCTTGATGATTTGGGCTTTTGGACCTGTGCTTAGCAGCTTTAAATAAATATTTCCTACGATAGCATGGAACGATGACATTTTGTTCAGCGGATGCTTCTTGAGCAATGCATATTCATGAGTTGCCCTTTACCGTGTGTCACTTGTTGAACCCTTCCATCAGATAACGGGGAAAGATTGCTTTGGCTCTGGTTTAAGGCACAGAGGATGGTTTTGAGATGGAACGAAATCTCAATGTTTGGGACATTTTGCTCATTTTCCATTAAATGAAGCCAACGCGAGTTTCTTCTCAAATTAACGAAGAGGCGATGTTCTTCTGTTTAGAGCCCTGGGCCAGTGGAAGGAAATTCCACATTCCTCTGGTGGGTGATCGTGTCCCTTTGATAATTTTATCACAAACACAAATGTACAGTTAAATGATGAAATCCATTCGTCAGAAGCAAATAACTGTGCACTCTTTCTTTTTATATAAAGACAATGCTCGCGTGTGGTGTATAGCCTCTACCAGACCCTTGGGGCAGATGCTTTTCGTGAGCACCTATTAAGGCCAGCACGGCACACGTAGAGGGGTGGTGTGGCCAGCACCTGCCACTGCATGGCTAGCTACGTATGGTGACAAAGAAGTGCATCATACATACATATACGCCATATCCGGCCGCCTTTGTCTCCCCAGTGGTGATGTTTTCACACTGCACCAGGTACTCATTTAAGGCTGAGTCGGCCTAGGGGAGGCGCAGGAGGGCTTCAGATATTTGTTACTGATTTTGACCACGAATGGGAATCGAACCGGGGTGACCAGATTTATAGCACAGTGGTTTTATACACGCACACATGCACCTCACACTGGAGCAAATGAGATGTGGCTCTTACGTGTGTGTGTGTGTATAAGACACCCTGGACACGCTTGCAGTCAAGATGTTCCATCCCTGTGCATCTTTTCAGGTAGAAATATTTAAATTCAATCAACATTCTCTGCCACCGTGGGCAGGGCCTGGCCACGGCACACGGCCAGGCGTGTTGCGAGCACGGTGGAACGTAAATGGCATCCGATAGCCACGTGGCTATTTATAGCCGATTCCTGTTGCCCTGATGCACGTCCAGATAGCAGCGGGGGCAGTGAAGAGGGGGCTCGCTGGAGCGCCCTCACGACGCTTTGCTTCGCACGACGCGATTGCCGCCCGTCGTTACTCGAGGCTGACCGTCCGCTGCGCCCTGAACCCCACAGAGTGTTGGCGCACGTTGAACTTATTTTGCGCTGTACATTGCCAACCGTGCTCATCTGTTGGGAGGTAAATTAACTAATTATAGGCAAGTAGAGGCTATGAAGATAAATTGCTTAATGTGATTCTAAAAGGGTTTACATCAAAGTCAGTTCAACCATTTTCCACTGCAACTCTGCTGCGCTCGGCATTGACTTTAGATGAAGTTGAGATACCAAGTGATTCCAGAAATGACCGTGTCCAGTGAGAGAGATGCCAAATCAAGCCAATTATTCGCACAGGGCGCGATGCGGTGAGAGGGTCGGCAGTGCCTTGGGTTGTGAGGATGTGGATCTGGCGATTATTGATCATTGTTTTCTTTTCACCTCTTCTCAGGACAAGTTCTCAATTGGTGAAGATTGACATTTCTATGATGAAGAGGTTTGGGGAAATCGAGTTCAATATTTCCAAAGAACTATGGTAAAGGAGAAGGTTTAATTCACACAGTTTGTTAATGTGTATTACACACCACACTCTTGTTGTATTTTTTTAAGTCGGCCAATACAAAAATGTGGCTAATATCACTAGGGCCTCAAGATCCCCATGTTCTGGCCCCAGAGGAGCTTGGTGATAAATAATCCGACTCCGGTCTCCCACAGCCTCACGAAGCAATGTTGTCACTTTGAGATCTGCGGATTAACAGTTGCTCTCACCTTTCTGTCCACGTTCCACCTCCTGGGCACCGTGGGACAGAAGCTTCTCCTGTAAAGCCAACGTGGCCAGGAATGCTCACCAAAGCGCAAAGTGCAGCAGAAGCGGTAGGGGGGTCTCAGGCAGACGGGGGCCTGGGACCTAAGCGTCCTGTCAGCCTCGGCTCTACTGGCTCCTCGTCGTCATCCCGAGACAGCCACCTCTCGTTCGGGAGCAGCCTCGTGCTGGCATCCTCCCCGTCCTCCTCGCTGGCGCCGGGAGACTCGGGGTGCTCCTGCAGTGAGCGCGATGCCTTCAGCGATCGGGAGCCGGAGCTGGGAAAGATGGAGGCGCTGACCACAACCGCGGCGGGGGGACGCTGCCCGCCGGAACCGCAAGAGGACGGGGTCACGGCACCGGCGGGGCAGCGCGCCGGCCGAAATGGGCAGCTGCAGGAGGCCGTGCTCCAGGTGAGGGAGAGCAACATCTTGGAGCTGGAGGAGGAGGACACGCGCCGAAGCAGCAGCGGCAGCAGCGGCAGCAGCGGCAGCCAGGAGATGGGGCGTCCGGGGAAGGAGGGCACACGCGTGAGGATGACACTGGCTGCCGATGGCTGCTCCTTGTCCTCGCTGGAGCGCGTCCTGCTCGAGATGCTGCAGACTGAGCGGGCCTACGTGAGAGACCTGAGCAGCATCGTGCAGGTGAGCAGCGGTCGCCACCGGCACATGCTGACGGAGAGAGACCCAAGATGGCTGCACAATCCCCTCCCTCCCCCCCATCGTCTCTTAGCCTAAGCCTTCATAACCTTTCTCAATTCAAGAAAAGTGTTAACTCTTACAACTTTAATGGTGCTGTTTGTTGCTGGCCGCTTGGCATTTTGGGACTTTAAGACCGTTTCTCAGCAACTGTGTTAAAACAAAATCAATGCAGTCTAATGACTGCAAAAAAAAATCAAACGTTACTTCACCATACGGGCCTCACTTGGGTCAGGGCCAAGGTTTCCAGCGATACGTCATCTGGCTCATGTGGGCTGGTCGCATGTAGGGGTTGGCATGATTCAGCAAAAAATGGCTGCACTGGGTAGGACACGTCTTGCAGGATGGTGGAGGAGGGCCAATCGTCAACACCGGCATCAGCGTGGTCTCCACGGGCTCCGGCGACCAAGCGACGACCTAAGAGCAGTCGGTGGGAGAGTGTTCGGGCAGATCGTGCATGTTGCGTGCCTACTGTGCAGCAGCTGTGGGATGTGATAAAAAGTATTGGTCGCGAGGAGGAGTGGTGGTGGTGGCCTCAACGACTTTGACCATGATGACATCTTGATCTTTGACCTGGAGTGGGTAACACCATGCTACGTTGCAACTACTTGAGCAAAAATAACTGGACCGGGCAGGAGAAAGCTCAACAATAGTGGTCACATTGTCATTTTTGGGAGCCATGAGGCTTCTCATGTGAGGAGGAATCCTGCTCAGCCTGCTCCCACCACGCAGCCTTACCTAGCAAAGCAGACACAGCTTTGGGTGTCATTGCCAGAAAGGGATACTTTCAAAAAGGTCCCATAGCTTCTGTCCAATTCGTGGTTGAATAACAATGCCGAGAGGCGATGTAACTGAGCAGACAATCCGCCTCCTTCACACATCTGTCCCTCCACACAAAATACACATTCTTTTTTACCCATCCTATCAGCCACATGGCCAAAAGGGAGTGCACAATTTCATCAGCGCTGGTTCAGCACCAACTCTGGACCCGTTTTTATAGCCAGTGTCTCGTCAGCAGGGTCGAGCTTGCTTGAACCAACGCTGGTGAACTGCCAGGTGTTTTAGGCAAGCACCCTCTCTTTTAGACATCGGGTCCTAGTTTAACACACAGCCATAGAAAACACATGGCAGTCTGGCCATTAGCCACACGGTTCTTCCAGAAACAATTGGCTTGGAGTAATCTACAAACTGAGCAACACATGGCCCTAAAATGTTTACCCTCCCCTCCCACCCTCCCTCTTTTGACCTTGTTTCTATCAACACATCTCCACGATGCATTCTCTATCCCCCTCTTCTCGACTGAGGAAGTTTTGCACGAGGTAGAGTCACAGTGACGTGAAGAGGTGGAGAGAGAGTTGTTGAAGATGTGGTGGTGGCGATGAGGTGCTGTGTGGGTGGGGAGGATGATGTGTTGGTCGGCGTGGGATCATGAGGACGAGGTGGTGACATGCCGAGTATGTGGTGGTGTGCTTTTGGTGCGGGCGCAGGATTATCTTGGCTGCATGGAGGCCACACCTGGGCTGCCCCTCTCCTCTCAGGACCTCGGAACTCTCTTTGGCAACGTTCGCAGCATCTACTCGCTCAACAGGTGCGCACGTGACACACACTGTCCATCCATCTGCTCAACATCCTGCGGGATCTTGCCACACCAATGATGAGGACTTGGTCTACCAGACCGACTGTGTTGTCTAATCAATACTGTTACCCCCCCCCCCATACTGTAGATCACAACACACTCACTTGCTCACCCACCCACTCACTCAATCACCCACTCGCCACACTGCAGGTCACAACACTTCCATTCCCTGGCCACTGCTTCACATTGGCCTTCCCTCCCATCCTTTGTTTCCATGCCAAGCTCTTATAATGACATTGCTACATTTAAGAAGCGTGTCAACGGTTATCTTTTGGATCAATGATGACAGTGCTCCTTGTTACTGGCCGTTTGGGCCTGTGCTCAGTAACTGTCTGACTCAAAAACAAAAATAAAATCAAAATAGTTTCCGTTAAAACGTATTATGCCCCACTGACAAGCATCCCTTCGTGTGGTGTGTTCATTTCCACTGGCTCGCAAACATGTAATTATCCAAAAGCAGATGATCACGTAGGCTTTCGCGACCAAAATATTATGCATAGGCGAAAGGTAGAAGTATTCTGGCTGTTGCCTGATGAGGCTAGTTGTAATTACCAGCGAAATGTCATACTTGAATTTTAAATGTTGTGGGTTTACTCCAACACACAACTGGTTAGTGCTGAACTAGTAACTAATTGGCATGTTTTGTTTCAGTGACAAACCTTCTAATTGGCTGTGTCGGGTGGTGGCAGGTTTAACAACACATTTATATTTACGCGATGTAACCAAAAAAACCTGTATTATTCAACAGCAGCTGCACAGTAACTATGCAGTGTGTGTAGTTATTGGGTAACTACCATCGAGTAGTTACTGATTGGGGCGGTGACGCGGCCCGCGGTCGCCGCTTGTATGCGGGGGTTCACGGTTCGGATCCGGCAGGCGGCCCTGGTTTATAGTGCGGTGTGCAATCACCGTGAAATACCACGCACCACCTGCTTCACAGTGGACGTTAAAGACCACGTGGTGTCGTTCGAAATGAGAAGGCCACTGGGTGCTGTTGGCATCGCAGTCTATATTTGCCAATTTCGAAAAAATGTCACCGCGATTACTCAATTGAGATCACACGACAGCAACATTGCTCGCCACTGTCAAGCGAACGCAGCCTGTGCCAGCGAAACAGAGCGGCGCCTTCCTCCCCTCGTGACAATTGCCCTGCGCTTGAAGAATGACAGCGCCAATACCACAGGTACCCTACCTATTATATGGTTCTGAATATTAAAAGTGTTGACGCAAGAATGAACATGTCACTGCGATTCTCGTTACTGGTGGCTGAGCACGGTTTATATTTATTTGATTATTCATTAAAATATTTCACCTGGAAAATCCCTCGGGATGGCACGTCTCATTTACAAGAGGACTCCGGGTGTCGATTAAGGCACAATAGCCTTTAACAGACTATTGGGGCAAGTGCTGTTAGCAAGCACCTATGAAGCTCGACACGGCATACGAAGGTGTGGGTGGCCAGCACCACACCCCGCCGCCTTTGTCTCCCAAGTGGCAATGTTTACACACCGCATCAGGCACTCATTTTAGGTTGCGTCGACCTAGGGGAAGCCCAGCACCGGTTCAGATAATTGTCACTGGTGTTGGCCGTGATCGAGAATCAAACTCGGGTAGCCGGCTTCGTAGTTCAGTGCACTAACCGCTAAACTACCACTCCCCAAACACACCGCGTATCTATATACACACACACGTTGAACATACATCTTCTACAGTTTGCATTTGTACAGTGAATCCGGCATCCAGTCACACACAGATCAATATGGGAACGATTCGATGGTGTACACCCCCGGTTCATGTAGACTGCACTCCGACTAAGCGTGGCAGGCACTGTGTGAGTGAGATTCAATTAGAGAGGGACGAGTGGAGGCTGGCGGCACGTCCGTTTGTCTGGGAAGTGGAAGAAACTTATAAATATCCACCCTGAAGCTCAGTGTCTCGGCAGCTGGGATAGGGGGAGTACCTGCATGGATGACGTGGTGGAGTGATAGGGTGATAAAGGGGAATAGACGGATGGAGTGGTGGAGTGGCGTCGTGATAAAAGGGATGGGGTGATAGTGATGAAAGTCTGCGGGGATGGAGGATATAGCGCTGAAGGCTGTTGGTACAGGGGAGGCTCCTGCTGTGGGAGAGACGGCTGTCTCCTGCTCGACACAGGGGAGGTGGGGGTGGGTGGGACGCAAAGCGGCACGCTCCACTTTACCCTCAGGGCCCGAAAACCAAGCTTCGCGCGTTTCCATTCTGCTTCGGGGCTGCTGCTTGACCAGCCTGGCGTGTTTGCGATGTCGTAGGGCCCAGTAATACGTGGGCTTGCTCTGGTGTGAGCCCCTGGGCTGCTGGATGGCCACCCTCCTCAGGCGTGCGGAGGAGTTCACTATTTTGGGCGCCGTGATAAATTGGGAATGGCAGCTGAGCCTCTCAGCTGCCACCCGTGAACTCTGGCGAGCAGGGTGAATGCGCAGATGGAAATGAACACATGAAAACAGGAACACAAAATATTAATCGGTGTCGAAGTGCAGAATATCGTCGACTAAATAAGCAAGTAGACAATTCGACTGCTTTGCACATCTGTACCTCCACGTACACGGTACAAGTATTTGTTTAACTCATCTCATCGCCCACACAGCCTTCTGGGAGTGAATTTTTTCAGCAGAATTAGTTAAACACAAGCATACTCTGGTTGTCATTCAGCGTCTCATCAGCAGTCCTCTCTCTTCTGCACATCTCATCGAGTCAGTTTCCTTTATTGAACCAGGAGATGAAATGTGAACCGACTGAGGCGGCATTGCCTTTTCTGCAAGGGCGCCCTGGGTGACATGGAGTCAATTTAAGTTTGCAATTTGTAAAAAAAAATGTCACAAATGTAACATCTGTAGTAAATTAGTAAAAATGTGAATTGGGCTAAGTAGAGAAGGTGATATTACACTTCAACTATTTAAATGTACGAGAAATTTGATATAATTTCTAGAAGGGAAATCGACCGAGACGAGGCAAGTGGAAGCAATGGAGAGAAATGTCATGAATGCGATCAGATTTAAAACAAATTGACGTCAGGCAGCTGGAAAAAAACCATGAACACAAACGTAGCCTAATCAAAACATCCACAATGGGTTACGTGTCAAACATGTTCATTCTTCATTACTCCTACGCATGAGGTTCAAGGCTCTGTGTTAGGAGGGTCCTGTGACGTTTTTGCAGGATGGGGCGATGTTGCTGCTGTAAGTGTGATACCAATTGAGAAATTTGCAGCTAATATCTCAGACTTGAGATGATTTGTCCAAAACGACTTACATTTTGTACATATGTTGTAGCTGTGGAGGGAAACCGGACGAAACCCATGCAGAACAGGGGGAGAACGTACAGACGCCACACAGAAAGGCACCCGAGTTGGGAATTGAACTCGGACCCTTCAGGCTGTGAGGCGCAAGTGTAACTACTGTGCCTCTATGCGCAACTAAGCCACACACCATAGAACCATACGTTAAAACCTGTCTGTGGGAAGAACTGTGAAGCGCCACACTTCAAAGTACACCTGGGCCATGTGAATCCTGTCATACCTGGTGAAGGCAGAGTACATGATGCATGTGGAGGAGATGGATCCACGTAGGTGTGGATCACAGTGCGAGTGACCAGAATAGCTGGTTTATAGGCACGCAGTGATTCACCCTGCCTGCAAATGGATGGATTGCCAAGATCTGGGCTCGTGATACGAATCAAGAATCAAATATGTCTGTGTGGTTTATGCTGCCGAGTTTGTATTGTCTGCCTGATTTGTTGTGTCTCGGTTGTGCTGTCTCATTTGGTCCCCCATCAAAGTCAAAAGATATTTTGCTCAAGTGCACATCTTGGAGGTGTCATCATCGCCTGTTACAGCCCTGAGCCAGTGGTGGAAATTGCACATTCTTAGGGCGCGGCAGAGTCTATCCACCATTGACTTCCCCACAAATTGGTGCACATTTTATTGACGCTGGAGGGATGTTTGGCTGTGTCAACAGCCAACCAGGATTTGAACTCGCAACCTTCTCATTGCCAGCCGCTATCAACGTTTTGACACGGACGAATCGGCACGGGCCTCCTGGCCAATTCCCAGCGGTCGTAACAATGCCACGGTGTGCTCATAAAACAGCAGGAAGCCGCAAAGCCCAATAATGGCATGCATGCACGTGGACACCACAAACCCCAATCACCACATTGCATCTACAAAGCTCTTGGCCTTGGCTAAGCCATAAACTCAGTAGCTGAATGTGTGGCCTTATTACTTGGGAAACAGCACATGGGAATCGTCATCCCCGACTGCAAACACTTAGTCAGACCTTTATTGAAAATTATTCTGGAACTTTGTATTTCCTTACAGGGATTTACTGCAGGACCTGGAGGTGTGCGGCCTTGACCCTGTGGCTGCTGCCAGGTGCTTTATCAGCAAGGTGAGTGTCCCCACTGCCACCCCCGGAACCCCACCCTCTACCTCGCTGCCGCCCCCCCACCACCTCTGTACTCGGCACAGTAGATTCACCCCTACGAGCCAGAAAGAAATCAGTGCACGCCTGCACTTTGAAGTTTTCACGTGAGACGCAGTGGCGGTAAAATGGTCAAACTGGTTTTTTTTCCGCTTGGAGGCTTCTGAATCTGTAACAAACGTTGAGATGCCAACAGATTCCACCCTCGGCATCTCTTTGTGTAGCGTGCTGTGACAGCAACTCGGGCTCGCCTCTCTCGATGTCGCCATGTGATCCAGCCGCATTTTTATGTCGTTTTGGCGATAACTACACTTTGTTGAGTATCAACGTAGAGCAGCAGTCGTGTTGAGCGATGGATTCGCCACTCGCCGATTCACTCCGGTTACTCGCTCACCGGCAGTCAGTTGCCCCCTCCTCACTCTTCTGTCGCTATCGCCATGGTTGCTGATCCCGTGAACGTCACTCGTTGATTCCTCCTCCCATGTTGAGTACAAGTTCTAGCAGACCGACTGCATCGTCTCTGCCACCACACCGCAGGTCACCTCACCTTCCTTTCTGCTTCAAACCTCTCATTGCTCCACTTTTGGAATTCCCTCCCGTCGTCTCTTTTCCCAAGCATTCATGACAATAACTTTGCTCAATTCAGAAAACGTGTGTTACCTCTGATCTATTGCAACATTGATCGTACTGTTGTTGCTGGCCACATGATGTCGGTTTCCTCCTGTGTCCCCGTGCAGAGCGAAGCTTTCCAAATCTACACCGAGTACTGCATGAACTACCCCAAGTGAGTGGTCACCCGATGCACACATGGTTGAGCTTGACATTCAGTAACAATCAATATCATTTTAAATTGATGCATCGCTGCACTCGTGAAAATGAGAATCTCCGGGTCTCAGGAGTTCTGTCTTCATTAACAAAATCAACTCGAAACCTAAACAAAATTAACCCTCATTGTGAAAGCGCAAGCTCCAGGATTGATACTTCAGCACTGGAGCCAATCGCTGTACCAGGGCAGTGCCTCTGTGCAGCACCGTAGGTGTGGTCCATGCAATTCCATGCAATTGTGTTCTCTCAAAGAGTTCTGAACCCAGATGAAAAGCCAAGACAAACAACCATCAGCGTCGGCGTGGAGAATATCACCAACAAAATAAATAGTCGGACAATTTGCCTCCTTTCCACATCTGTCCCTCCACATTGGCCACAAGCAAACTGTGGACCAGTTTCAACATTCATTGGCGTGGGTCAAACACCGCAATATAGGACCACGGAACGTGGGCAATTGTTGGTGCCGATTCTGGCTACCTTCCCACTTGTCTGTGTTCCCCGCGCCTCTGAATCATTCTCTCTGTCTGAGAGTGAACAAAAACTGTGCACGTTACAAATTCCAAATCGTCGTCATCATCATCAGTTTAACACGTAGGCTTTCGCGACCAATATCATCCATAATATAGGTTTTTGTTGTTGTTAGATCGCATAAATATAAATGTGTCGGATGGTGGATGTGTCGGGTGGTGGCTGTGTCAGGGGGTGGCGGGTTTAACAAGACATTTATATTTACGCGATCTAACCCAAAAAACATGATGGATCCTCATCACTCAACGTCTCATCACGGAAGCCAAGTGTGCGTTCACGACAGCGCTCCCCCCCCCCACTGCCTCTGCAGCACCGCACTCCGGCGCCCCCATTCACTCCGCCATGCGGCGCCGGTGCACAACAGTGCCGACAGTGAGGAATGCGAGCCGGTGCGCCGTCACTGGCGAGCCGCGGTGGCCGTATGTGTGTGTGCGTCTGTGCGCTCACACGTCCGCCTTTCTGATGCAGCGCCGTGCGAGTGCTGGCAGAGTGCATGCGCAGCCCGGAGCTGGGGGCTGTGCTGGCGTCACGCCAGGCAGCGTTGTGCCACTCCCTGCCCCTCGGGTCCTACTTGCTCAAGCCCGTGCAGCGCATCCTCAAGTACCACCTACTGCTGCACGTACGCTACGATGCCACGCCAGCCCTCGCCAGCGCACACCACACCAACACAAATACCCCCCTCCCCCCAGAGACTCAACTGTGAAATTCGCTGGTTGATTCCTCCTTCCACGTTGAGACTCGGTCCGCACGGCTAACCACTTCATCTCACCGCACCGCAGGTCACAACAATATGCTCGCCAAAGACTTGCTTACGAATGCCGGTCGCAACGCGACTCTTTCCTCTTTCTCCCTCGCAGTGCTCCACTTTGAAATTGCTTCACATCGTCTCTTTTCCCAAACAATTGAATTATTAATGACCTCGCTCAATTCAAGAAACGTACTATGCTCTTATCTATTACAACAAGTACAGTTGCTGAGAACAGGCCCTGAGGCCCGACATGATTTACTGCTGGAAACCTTGGCTCTGGTCCAAGTGAGGCCTGTATGGTGAAGGAACGTTGATTCTTTTTTCAGTCATTTAACAGCGTTGGTGATGGTAATTTTTTTATACAGTTGCTGGGAACGGGCTTAAAGTCCCAAAATGCCAAGCGGACAGCAACACACAGAACCGTCAAAGTTGTAATCGATGAGAGTTTGGGAAAAGAGACGATGGAAAGGAATTTGAAAGTGGAGAAATACGAGGGAAGAGGCTGAGAGAGAAGTGTTGTGACCTGCAATGTGGTGAGTAGGTGAGTGTGTTGTTGTGACCTGCAGTGTGGTGAGTGAGTAGGTGAGTGTCTTGTTGTGACCTGCAGTGTGGTGAGTGAGTAGGTGAGTGTGTTGTTGTGACCTGCAGTGTGGTGCGTGAGTGAGTAGGTGAGTGTGTTGTTGTGACCTGCAGTGTGGTGAGTGAGTAGGTGAGTGTCTTGTTGTGACCTGCAGTGTGGTGAGTGAGTAGGTGAGTGTGTTGTTGTGACCTGCAGTGTGGTGCATAGGTGAGTGTGTTGTTGTGACCTGCAGTGTGGTGCGTAGGTGAGTGTGTTGTTGTGACCTGCAGTGTGGTGCGTGAGTGAGTAGGTGAGTGTGTTGTTGTGACCTGCAGTGTGGTGAGTGAGTGGGTGAGTGTGTTGGTGTGACCTGCAGTGTGGTGAGTGAGTAGGTGAGTGTCGTTTTGTGACCTGCAGTGTGGTGAGTTGGTGGGTGAGTGTCTTGTTGTAACCTGCAGTTTCTCGAGTGAGTGAGTGGGTGAGTGTGTTGTTGTGACCTGCAGTGTGGTGCGTGAGTAGGTGAGTGTGTTGTTGTGACCTGCAGTGTGGTGCGTGAGTGAGTAGGTGAGTAAGTTGTTGTGACCTGCAGTGTGGTGAGGGGGTGAGTGTGTTGTTGTGACCTGCAGTGTGGTGCGTGAGTGAGTAGGTGAGTGTGTTGTTGTGACCTGCAGTGTGGTGAGTGGGTGAGTGTGTTGTTGTGACCTGCAGTGTGGTGAGTGAGTAGGTGAGTGTGTTGTTGTGACATGCAGTGTGGTGATTGAACACCGTACGGATGAGATCACAGCCTGGTTGACAGAATCCTCAACATGGGTGGAGAAATTGTCGAGTGAAGTTCACGGCCTGCATGCGCTCTCCTGTTGTGATGGCATCCCCATCATGTAAATAGAGTGCTGGGTGTGAAGCAGGGAGGTTGTGCAGTGGAGAGGGCCCCGGCGTCTGTGGCAGTAGCTCACGGGACGCCGCGGTCTGTGCAGGAGGTCTCCAGGCACTGCGAGGACGGCACCTGGGAACGAGCGCCTATCCAGGAAGCCCTGGATACCATGACTGGGGTGGCACAGCACATCAACGAAGTCAAGCGGAGGCACGAGCAGGCCTCCCGTGTGCAGGTAAGCGCGCTGTTACACGAGCACGTGCGCGTGCCACCGCACGGACGTGTGCCACCGCAGGGGCGCGTCCCACCACGCTGACCATAATGGGGGAAGGACATGGAGAGGTTTTATGTATTCGTGAGATCCTCTTTCAGGTTTATTAGACCCAGTGAGGACTCAAGAGACCAGGATGGAGTTATTTGCAAGCAATAACTTAACCAGCAGTCTGGATTTGGAGGCACCACACCAAAAAGGTGAACAACCTCTGATTTAGATAATATAATCATAATAACAATTTAGCACATTTGGTATTCGTGCTGTCGTTATTATAGCTTAAGGCTATCACAATGAACGGCACGGCTGTGTTTCGCATACACATTCTGCAGTAGTTTCACAGAAGAAGCGATGTTGCTATAGTTGTGACGTGCAATTTCAATTGAGTCATTTGCCGGCTTTTTTTTTAACATGGCAAATTTGGATCATGGCGCCAGCACACGATGGCCTGCTCTTTTCGAGCCGCAAACCTCTGCAATTAGCGTCGACCGCGCTACCACTGGGCCGGGTCACCATCCCAAATGTGGACGATTAACCGAGGACACTTTTGCAGCAATGACCAATGGAATTCCAAGTTTTTGGTAAGAACAGTGTACGTGTGCGCCCGTGTATGCGTGCCCTGTGCAGGAGATCGAGCGCTTGCTGAGTAGCTGGCACGGGCCAGAGCTGGGGCGCTACGGGGAGCTGGTTCTGGAGGGCGTGTTCCGCGTGGCGCGCGCTCGCAACCAGCGCACATTCTTTCTCTTCACCAACATCCTGCTCTTCGCCCGCCGGCGTGACCACATCTATGTCTGCAAGGGCCACATCCTCGTGAGCCCTGCGCCTCCCACATGAACGCCACGGCAGCTCCGCCGTTGAAGAAGCTAATTGTGCCGTGTTTTGTTACAGGGAACAAATTTGAGATGTTAGAACAGTGGTCATAGGACAAACAGCAACTTTCCATCTTTTCCTGAAAGATGATCATACTTGACAAGACAGGGTATGCGCACCTACACGGTCAAGAGATGGCAGGTGACTCCACCTGTGTGGGTGTTTGTGCACGAGTGTGTCTTGTAGATTGAGGGTAAGCAAAGTGTCTTGTAGTGTGGGGAGCGGTGGTACAGCGGATGGCGCTTTGTGCTATGAAGCCGGCGACCCGAGTATGATTCCTTCTCATGGCCACGAACACCAGTGATGATTATCTGAACCGCTCCTGGACAATGGCCTAGCCAGGATTTCAGGTAGGGGGGGCAACCCCTCTAGAAATGAAAAATGATAGGAGTTGTTAGTAAGTAAGGACTTGTCCTTTGCTTTTTATTTGACGCGTGTGCGGCGATGGCGCAGCCATCGATGGAGGGCCGAATTCGAACCGCGTTGTGTGATCGGCATCGCGCTCACTGAAGGTGAATGCCTTCAGGGAAGTCGTGTACTGTATACGCAACTACGCACAATTATGTGAGTTACTTATAACTGCTTTGCCGTTACTTATTGCCAATTATGGACTCAGATTATTGTCCTATCATCTCATAGAGTCCCTGGCACGTAATAATATGCTACACAGTGGCAGTGGGGGTCGCGAAATGCAGATTTATTACTAATAAACCCAAATAATCCGATCGAAATTAGGGATTTCGATCGGATCATTGGGGGGAGCACGTGCCACCCCAACCCCCCCCCCCCCTACTGGCTCCGCCAGTGCTCCTGGACCTTCCCTAGGTCGAATCAATCTCAAATTAGTACCCGGTGCGGTGTGTAAACACCACCACTCCGAAGACAAAGGAGGCCGGGCGTGGTGCTGGCCACCCACCCCTTCGTGTGTCGTGCCGGCCTTCATTGGTGCTCGTTAGCAGCACTTGCCCAAATAGTCTGTGAAGGCTATACGGGGGTACTTTGTCTTTGTGTACTAGTGTGTGCCATTGTGTTTGTGTGTGCTCGTGTGTGTGTGTGCTCGTGTGTGTTCATGGGCCCATGTCCCTGCGTGTGGCAGTGCGCTAACCTGATGCTGGTGGAGAACCTACCCAAGGAGCCACTCAGCTTCACCGTCGGCCACTTTAAGAATCCCAAGATTCGGCACACTCTGCAGGTCTGCAATACACGGACTCTCACGTGCCACACACACGGGCTCTCACGTGCCACACACACACACGGGTTCTCACGTGCCACACACACGGGCTCTCACGTGCCACACACACGGGCTCTCACGTGCCACACACACACACGGGCTCTCACGTGCCACACACACACACGGACTCTCACGTGCCACACACACACACGGGCTCTCACGTGCCACACACACACACGGGCTCTCACGTGCCACACACATGGGCTCTCACGTGCCACACACACGGGCTCTCACGTGCCACACACACGCACGGGCTCTCACGTGCCACACACACGCACGGGCTCTCACGTGCCACACACACACACGGGCTCTCACGTGCCACACACACACACGGGCTCTCACGTGCCACACACACACACGGGCTCTCACGTGCCACACACACGGGCTCTCACGTGCCACACACACGGACTCTCACGTGCCACACACACACACGGGCTCTCATGCAGCTGGAATGCACATCAAGAGATGATAAAATAAAGCCATAAAATATCCATTTAGACATGCAAATGATGCCACCAGTCTCAACTGATTTAAATCTCTCATTTAAATTCACTCTTCTTGGTTCTTTCGGTAAAGTCACGTAGAAGGGAAGTAATAAAATAATAAAAATAAAACATAATAAAATAATTCTCACGACGTTTCGGCCACAACGCAAGCAAGAAGATGAATCCCTGCAGTCACGAAAGCTTTAAATCGAAAAATTAAGTTCACTCGTCAACATTTGCCACAGTTACAGTCAGAGTGCATTCTAAATGAACCAGGGGTGTGCACCATTGAATCGTTTCCGTGTTTATCTGTGTATATGACTGGGTGCAGTATTTATTGTACAAATGCAAACTGTAGAGATCGTATATTCAACGTGTGTGTGTGTATGCGCGGTGTCATGATGCGTTTTCTGCGTGTGCGTCAATCGGCACCTGGTACACCCTTGTAAATGAGACATTCCATCTCGAGGGACTTTCCAGGTGAAATATTTGAATTCGAAATAATGGAGAAGCATGTTGAATCGATGTTACGTGTTGTGTCTTGAGAATTGCGGCTTTCTTGAATTTGCTGTAACCATTCCTGCTGTGTTGAGAAGGCTGCCTTGCATGGCTCCTCCGAGATGTACTTGTGTTGCAAGCTTCACATTCACACAAGGACATTGTGCCTCCACCTGATCTCCGAACCCCCACGTGGCACTGTCTGCCTTCCCCCTGTTACAGGCACACTCTGTGGAAGAGAAGCGCCTGTGGGTCCACGAGTTGAAGAGGCTCATTCTGGAGAACTACCCGAGCGACATCCCCCTCAAGGTGGGACACAGTCACGTGCCAAATCCACACACAAAGATCCCCCTGTAGCCTTCGCAGACTGTTGGGGCAAGTGCTTGCTAGTGAGCACCTACCTCGCGTGGTATACAGGAGGTTGTGGGTTTGATCCTGACCTTGACGCCTTGACGCCTGTATATTTGGAGTTTGCATGTTCTCCCCGTAGTCGATTTTTTTCTGGGTCCTCCGGTTTTAACCTCCACATTTAGAAACATGCATTTAGAGTATTTGGCTGCTATACATTTCCACATGATTATAAGCCACTTCGTTGAGCTATCATTTGTGGCCAGGTCGCTTCTGAAAACGAGCTACACAGCTCAGTGGGCTTTGCCTGGTAAAGTAAAAAAAGGATGGCATGGCACACGAGAGGTGAGTGACCAGCATCACGTCCGGCTGCCTTTGTCTGCCAAGTGACGATGTTCACACATCACACCAGGCACTCAATTGAGGCTGAGTCAACCTAGGGGAGGCCCAGGACTGGTTCAGATGATCATACTCTACACACACACGCATTCAAGCCACCTACACATACTGTACACACGCAGACATCCATTCCTTGCCGTCTGCACCTTACACTACAATGCTTTGTTCCCAAGGGAGCACTCAGATCGTGAATTTATCGTAATCTGTTCACTGCTTCTCATTCTCTGCTGTTGTGGAGTCTCACGCAGTGATGTGTGAATGGTGTGTGATTATAGGCTAAGCAGGCCATCCTGGACATGGATGGGTCATGTAAGTCACTTCCCCTGCGCCACACCGTAGTTCAGCGGTTCTCAACCCACTGGGGTGTGCGGGCTGCGGCATGGATGCCGTGCAGGATAAATTTAGAATGTACATGGGGGAATATCAATCAGTGCCACGTTGGGGCAACAAAACCCACTGATACACAATGTGAAATGGATGCCCTGCTAACACTAAGCACACTCGTATACACCGTGAAACAAAGACCTTAAAAACAAAAAACACACCGTTACACAAGATGAAACCAATGCTTTACACGAAACATAGTAGTGCATAACATGTAACCAATGGCTTACTAATACAAAAAAACACACGACTGCACATGAAACACATGATTTACTAACACTAAACACACTAATACACAATTTGATACAAATGTATTATAAACACCAAAGACAAAGATCACCCTTATAGCCTGTAACAGATTTTTGTGGCAAGTGCTGTTAGCGAGCACCTATTAAGGCCGGTACGGCATACGAGGGGTGGGTGGCCAACACCGCGCTTGGCCGCCTTTGGCTCCCCAGTGGCGATGTTTACACAACGCACCAGATACTCATTCGAGGCCTAGTCGACCTAGGTGAAACCCAGGACCGTTTCAGACAATCGTTACTGGTGTTGGAAGTGAGCGGGAATTGAACTCCGATTGCCGACTTCGTAGCGCAGAGCGTTAACCGCTCCACCACCGCTCCTCTTTATAAACACCTAACACACCGAGACACTCCATGAAATGTGGCCTACTAACACTCACAGTGATACACAACGTGAACCCAATGCCTTACTAACACTCAATACACAGGGAAACCAATGGTTTACTAACACAGTGCACACTGATACACAACGTGAAACCAATGCCTTACTAACACTAAATACACAGTGAAACCAATGGCTTAATAACACAGTGCGCACAGAAACACAATGTGAAACTTGTGGCTTAGTAACACAGTGTGCACAGAAACACAACGTGAAACCAATGCCTTACTAACACTAAATGCACAGAAAAACCAATGGCTTACTAACACAGTGCGCACTGATACACAACGTGAAACTAATGGCTTACTAACACAGTGTGCACAGAAACACAACGTGAAACTAATGGCTTAGTGGCACTCGAGCGAGCGGCTCGCAACAGGAAGGTTGCGAGTTTAAATACTGGGGGTTGACTTGGCCCATCATCCCTAAAATAAGCCCCACTGTGTGGAGAAGTGAAGAGTGATTGCTCTATACAGAGACGCGCCCCCGACAGAGAAGACATTACCAACACTTGCTCAGGGCTGTAAACAGGAGGGGAGGACTAATGCCTTCATGCTCATTCGAGCAGGAAATCACCTTGCTGTTGGCTTTTGACAGTTTTACGGTATGCGTTAGCGCCACATTACTTACAGGAATTGATCCACTTCTATACACCAATGAGGTCCTTGAGATATTCTGATCACCGTCTTCTTCTTAGTATTCCGAGGTCAAGTCTCCATTCCTGGGGTGATTGGGCTTTTGCCAATGCAACTCCCAAGATGATGGAACACGTTGGCCTATGATAATTAATAAGACATTCGGAATATTTAGAGCTATTTACATCTGTTTAACACGTAGGCTTTCGTGACCAATATTATTCATAATCAACGTTTATGGGTTTAGATCGCGTTATTTATAAATGTGTCGTAACCCTCCACCACCTGACACGGCCAATCAGTAAAAAAGTGTCACGTTGACAAAGGACAAATAGTTCACTGCTTTAGCCCACCGGTGTGTTGAAGCGTGAAACCACAACATTTACAATTTGAGTACGACGTTTCACTGGTAATTGCATCCAGCATCATCGGGCAATTCGCCAGAATGGTGAGTTCAAGTTCAAGTTCATTTATTAGGTATAGCCCTGTGAGCCATTCAGCTCTTGAATCGGGTGCAACCGCAACAAAAAAAAAAACATGAGGTTCTGCTCTGTCTCCCGTTCTTATATAGAGCAGCAGCAGGGTGACGGCTCATTAACTAATTAACTCATCAGGTGCAACGATTTGAGGGGGGTTATTGTAATTATATACTAGATTAGTAATCAGGCAGTAGTTACGATGCGAGTTGTAGATTAGTAATCAGTTGGAATGTGTTTTATTGTGATTATGCTACATTAGTAATCAGTTAGTGTTTGTTTCCCTATAAGGAATTGTAATGTATCTTATTTGATAATACGCTTCCAGGCTGCACTAAGCCTGTAGCTTTCTGAGCGATTAAAGTTATTTCTGTTTCTCTCAATTTCAATGGATTCTCTAATTAGTCTTTGCCAGTAGTAACTAGTTTTACACAACACTTCAACGTTGTCAAAATCAATTGAGTGTCCCTGTTGGCAAGCATGTTCTGCCAATGCCGACAGTTGTGTTTGCGATAGTTTAATATTTCTCTGGTGTTCTTTTAGTCTTACACTAATGTTACGCCCTGTCTGTCCAATATAGCAAAAGCCTTAAGAGAGCTTCGTCTAAATATATTCAAATCCTAGCAGCTGATAAGGGCCGCACTACTGTAGTGATGTCACGAGCACATTATGATAAAATTTTAGATTTATTAGAGGAAAGTACCTATATTAAAATTAAACGAGATCCAACTAATACTTTGGAACGTAAGACTACTGCAATCATTGCAAATTCATTAATCCCCCAAAAAATGAGCAATTCCTAATTAAGCCAAGGGCTTCAAAACCACCTAGACTGTATGGGCTACCAAAGATCCATAAAATCGGCATCCCATTACGACCCATAGTCAGTACAATTGGCTCTGCCACATATAAATTAGCAAAATATGTAACTAAACAAATACAGCCCTACATCGGTAGGACATCTTCATTCATAAGAAATTCAGAACATCTGTAATAAAGGACTCTTAGGCGATGTTGGTCTCCGTCTGTCCTTTATTGGGTTCTTGTCTCGCACCCCGCAATGTCCCCGGTCAGACCCGCACCTCTTCCGTCGCGTGCCCTCCGCACGCCGTTCGAGTCCTCCGCTCACTCTCTGCAGCCACACCGCTGCCCGTGTGCCCTGCACACTCTGCAGCCACCCTGCTGCCCCGCGCACTCTGCAGCCACCCTGCTGCCACGTGTGCTCCCGCACACTCTGCAGCCACCCTGCTGCTCCACGTACACCGCTGGCCGACGGTGCCGTGACTCCGACCGCGTGGCAATTCGTGCCACCCCTCCGCCAGCACCCTGCATGGCTCCTTCTATCTCTACTCTCTCTCCACTCCCGATCCCCTTCCGGTTCTCTCCCTATATCCTCCTCCTCACGTGACCCTGACTCCTCCTCCTCCTCACGTGACCCTGACTCCGCCCCCACTCACCCCAACGACCAGGCTCCACCTCCCCTAATACTCCGGCCCGCGTGAGTGGCGCAGAGGCCGCGCCCACCCTGTCCTTGCTCGCATTACACATCTTGTGAATGTGATCAAAGATATTAAACTTAACCCTAATGATATTTTTGTGAGTTTTGATGTGATTTCGCTATTCACTAAGGTTCCAGTGAGCGAGTCGCTTAAATTACTTGATACACTGGTAAAGAATACAGGTTTACCAAAAGATATTCCGAAACTCGCTGACCAATGTTTAAATAACACTTACTTCTTATGGAGAGGCGAATTCTTTAAACAAAGGGAGGGAGCAGCAATGGGCTCTCCTTTATCTTCTGCTATAGCAAATTTGTACATGGAAAACTTTGAAACCAGAGCACTTGCCTCGAGCACATTAAAACCATCCTTTTGGTTTATATATGTGGATGACACTTTGGTTGTCTGGCCACATGGTAAAGATACACTTAACGATTTTCTAAATCATCTCAATGCACAAAACCCGGCCATTCAGTTCACTATGGAAATGGACATGAATAACACACTCCCGTTCCTGGATATTTTACTTGGGCATGGCCTAAATGGTAAAATAACACACATCGTTTACAGAAAGCAAACGCACACTGATGCCTATCTGAATGCAGATTCGCATCATCACCCAGCTCAGATATCCTCTCTTATCAAGACGTTCATACATCAGGCTAAAACAGTGTCAGATGGTGAAAGTCTAGTGAGAGAGATTAAACGTGTTAAAGAAGCACTAAGACAGAATGGCTACAATAATGCTCAAATTAAAGAGCACTAAATGCCAAATCACGATCGCAAAGCAACACTGCTGAAAGCGATCAGATTATTAAAACAATGAAAATACCATTTATCTCAGGAGTAACTGACAAATTAGTCCGTGTTTTGCAAAAGCAAGACATTACAGTAAGATTTGGTACAGTACACAAAATTCAACAACTAGTAACTTGCACTAAAGACAAATTACCTAACTTATCAACAGAAGGTGTATATCGGATTAATTGTTTATGTGGCAGATGCTATATTGGACAGACAGGGCGTAACATTAGTGTAAGACTAAAAGAACACCAGAGAAATATTAAACTATCGCAAACACAACTGTCGGCAGTGGCAGAACATGCTTGCCAACAGGGACACTCAATTGATTTTGACAACGTTGAAGTGTTGTGTAAAACTAGTTACTACTGGCAAAGACTAAGTAGAGAATCCATTGAAATTGAGAGAAACAGAAATAACTTTAATCGCCAGACAGCTACAGGCTTAGTGCGGCCTGGAAGCGTATTATTAAATAAGATACATTACAATTCCTTATAAGGAAACAAACACTAACTGATTACTAATGTAGCATAATCACAATAAAACACATTCCAACTGATTACTAATCTACAACACGCATCGTAACTACTGCCTGATTACTAATCTAGTATATAATTACAATAACCACCCCCCTCAAATCGTTGCACCTGATGAGTTAATTAGTTAATGATGACGTCACCCTGCTACTGCTCTATATAAGAACGGGAGACAGAGCAGAACCTCACCATTCTGGCGAATTGCCCGATGATGCTGGATGCAATTACCAGTGAAACGTCGTACTCAAATTGTAAATGTTGTGGTTTCACGCTTCAACACACCGGTGGGCTAAAGCAGTGAACTATTTGTCCTTTGTCAATGTGACACTTTTTTACTGATTGGCCGTGTCGGGTGGTGGAGGGTTACGACACATTTAGAAATAACGCGATCTAAACCCAAAAACGTTGATTATGAATATTTACATCTGACCTTAAATCTCACCTCTTTAAGATGGCCTTTTCCCCACAGTTTTGGTTTGTTTAGGCTGGTTCCCTGCTTTCCATACATGGCACATTGGGATCCTTGGATAAAATGCACCTTACAAATGTAAATTATTATTTTATACGGTACACCCGGTTAGAGTTGTGGCTCCGGACTCTGCCGCAGGTTCCCCTGCCACCCACTGCGGCCGAGACGATCCCAAGAAGGAGAGCTGGTACACCCGGCGAGGACGACGCAAATCAGGTGACAATCCAGCCCCTGCTCCCTGCGTTAGGGCATCGGGGTCCAGCTGCACCAAAAGGGGGCTGATGGCAAATGCCTTGGGGCTTCGCAGCGGTGGCCGTTACTCTTGTAAACGAGTCACGCTGAGACGACTGGCGCACATCCGCCAATCCCTCCACATGCTGTGACACATCCCCTGGGTCCATAGCTCTGTGGACATCCCCAGCCATGTAATAATAATAGCTATGCATTTACCCAGGGAAGACACATTGAGTCCGAGGACTCTTCTTCCCGAAGGGTCCCTGCTACATTGGGCTCTTTGTCCAAGAGCAGTTGCATTGCACGTTTTTATTTGGAGTAAATTGGATAATCTGGAGGAAGTCCACATAGAACAGGGGGAGAACACACAAAGTCCGCACAGAAAGGCACCCGAGCCATCAACCGAAGCCAGCTTCCTATTGCTGGAAGGCACGCGTAATTACCAGCGAAGCGTCGTACTCAAAAACTGTAAATGTTGTGGATTCACTCTTCAACAAACCGGTGGGCTGAAGTAGTAAACTATTTGTCTTTTTTCAACGTGACACTTTTTTGCTGTTTGGCCGTGGTGGGTGGTGCAGGGTTACGGCACATTTATAAATAACGCGATCTCACCCAAAAATGTTTATGATGAATAATATTGGTCGCGAAAGCCTCCCACGTGTTAAACTGACTGAACTTGTCTGTTGTGTTTGCAGAACCGGGAGACAGGAAGCCAAAGCCTCTGGAGTCACTAGGTAAGGATTTCGGGTGGTCAACTAAACAAGGCCTTTTGCACTGCTTTGTAAGGTGACTCACAAACTGAATTTTACTTCATTTATATTTTATTCACATTACCAAATATATGAAGGGTATAATTCAATGTTGTATCGGCACTTACATGTTGCTAACCAATTTTCCTGTTTTATTTTCTGCCCAACCCACAATACAAAACGGTTTTGGATAAAGCATCTGTCCGAAAGGTACGTGTTTGTGAACAAGCTGAGCATGATCACAGCCATGTAATGTACACGGCCCTTGCGCGCGTGCCAACAAGCGGTGTACAGTTCAGTGCCCGTTTGTGATGTGGTCAACAGTTCTGCACATTTGTAAGTGTCACACGCCACATATTTTGCGGGTCACAGGTCCAGAGGCCGTGCACTGCAGCCTCTTGACTAGGGCAAGGAATCGGTTCAATATACTGGTGTCAAATATGTAATGTTACTAAAATGAGATTGTGATAATGCACTTTTATTAAGTAAGTTTATTGCATAATTCACTTCAAGTGGCAATGTAAAGATGTTGGTACAACTTACGTGTTGCCAAGTGAAGTATCGCCAACACGTAAAAAGTTTGGTCTCGGTCTATGGACTGAAGTGAAAGGCCGATGGATAGCCTCTTCCCCGTTATGGGGATATGGACTTTCCACGAATGACTCAGCGCTGTAAATAAGAAATGAGCACCACCCCAATGCACATTTGAGCAGCAAATCACCTTGACTTGAACTACTAACCCTATGCACTGTTTGCGTTGCTGCTGCTGCTGCTCAGCGGTCGGGCAGTGTCGACGGTGGCCTGCTGAGGGATGCAGAGGTCGGTGGTGGGCCTGGGCTCGGGGAAGGCAGCACCGAAAGCTTGGAAAGGGCAGCCTCCACGGGGAGACGCCCGCTTCCCAACGGCGACATGCGGCAAGACGACCGGCAGAAGGGACAAGCAGATCGACAGGCGACACAGACGGACCGGCAGGATGGGCCAGCGGGCCAGCAAGAGGGGAGGGCAGATGCGCGGGAGGCACGGCCGTGTGGAGACGCAGCGGTGACGGGGACAGGGCAGCAGTGTCAGCAGCTGCAGAGCAGGAGGGTGGAGGCCAAGGCGAGCTCGCAGACCGCTGCCACCGATCCCACGCGGCTCGGGTTCAAGGTGGGAGCCCAATCACACGGTGCCCTGTGCCATATTCACATTGAAGCACGGCCAGGGAAATGCAATGTGTCTGAAATCCAAACTTTGGCTGAAGAATACGCATAATCACTACCTTCAGCTACTGCGTGGACCTGTAAAATTTATTTCATTGTTATTTATTCACATTTTTAACCTCGAAAATCGCTTGAGGTGGAACATTTCGGTTACCAGGGTGTCACAGGTATCGATTAATGCACACACAGCAAACACGTGATGACACTGCGTATATATACACACACACGTGTTCAATTTACAACCTCTACAGTTTGCATTTGTACAGTGAATACCGCACCAAATCACACAGATAAACACGGGAACGATTCGATGTGGAACACTGCCAGTTCATGTAGAGTGCATTTCAGCTATAACGGTCGCAGATATTGTGCCACTGAGTTTAATTAAACATTACAATTAGTTAAGACTGGTGGCATACTTTCGTGAGTCTGGGAGATCGTTCCACGTCGAAGCAGCTCTGTGTCAAAGCGAGAGTTGCGTCTGTTCGGCTTTTTACTCTCGGGACAGTTAAACTCCCGATGAGGTTTGGGACCGAAGAGCAGAGCGGTTGTTGGAGTAAATGGTTCGTTGTTGAGTTAAGGGGCCTACAACTCGGGGAACACCTTCACAGCCATGTGCCACTGATTGTCGCTGCAGCAGAGGGAGGGCGAGTGCAGTTTGCGAGCGCAGGCAGGAAGGCGCTTCCTCTATCGACAGTCTGTGGACCTGGAGGGCATGCACCTCAGCCCCATCTTATCGCAGGTATTCATCCCGCCTGGTACATACACAAGCAATGGATGTCAGGCATTGCAGTTTGTAATGTAAGTGCCTCTGTCTGTGCTGTGGCATTGTAAATGATGTGTTTGTCTTGTTCCCTGCAGCCCATGCTGGAAGTCCTTGCGGCTGAGCTCAAGTATGAGTGGCTGGTGGCCCCACAATATGGCAAGAAAGTGGCCCCTGTGAAGGCACAGTGTGATGGGAACACGTTGGAAACCCCAGAGGGTGGTGCGACGCTGCCCTCCAGTGGAGCCCTGATTTCTGCGAGTGCGTTGGCCACAGCCGAAGGTGGCGGAGGGATGGGAAAGGACACCCATTGTGCCGGCACGGACCAGCACTGCGTTGTCTCTTCAGCTGAGCCATTACTGGCAGCCGGAAGTGAGGTACAGCCAGTGGAACATGATGAATACCCTTCAAAACACCATGCCACGAATGTCAAAGTGGGTGAGGAGAAGCAAGAGAGCCACACGCGCGAGAATGGCGTGCCGCAGCAGGAGCGTGCAGGGCGCGTTGTACGCGAGTCCATCATCATCGATGATGATGAACCAGAAGAGTTTTATCAGGATAGGAATGAAGCAATTCAGGTGGTTGATATTATGGATACACCACAACCGTGTGATGATAATCAGAAGCCCGTTGAGACAAAAGTTCTCCAGCTGGATTTCGAAATGCTTCCAGTAAAAAAATCCCAACAACCTCTCATGGAAAACTCAAACTCAGATCAGACAGATGTTGCTGTTCAGCCTGTGTGTGATGATAGCAGCACAAAGGAAAGGAACGGTGAACCAGAAATCGAACTGTATAGACATGCGCCTTGTGAGAGTCCGTCAAGAGGCTTGCCAGTAGCTCCGCAGGAAGGCCCAACTCATCCTACAAACACGGTGGATGCGGCTCCTTCATTTGAAGGTGGTCGCAGGTTGAACGCATCGGAGGCAGATGATGTGTGGCTGTCGTGCCAAGACGCCGCACAAATGCTGGAGGAGACCCTCGGTTGGGAGGCCGCAGGATGCGTTTCCTCTCACGTTTCCTGTGAAGAGACCTCGCCGTTAACGCATCACACCTCTGATGATTCACAGCAGGGGGATTCTGCAACTGACGGCGGCATCTCCGCTTCACACCCTCCAAAAAGTGGATCACCAAGTGAGCAGGGAAACAACGATGAAGACGTAGACGATGGAGAGGACACAACCTTCCAGTTTGCCTCTACGGAGGTCGTGCGGAGCAACGTTTTTAGACACGATCAAGCAGAACATTTGCCAGTGCAGGCCGGATTCTCACCAATCATAAGTCCGCTCGAAAATCTATCGCCACAAACTGCCCCGACTGTGACCCAATGCGCCCCGGCTGATGTCGACGTTGTAGCGGAGCACTGCAGAGCGGTCGTCCAAACCGTGACGTCCGAGCTCGTCTCTTCGCCCTTCGTGAGGAAGAATGGAAACGATGTAGCCCGAGGCAACGGCGTCGGCATCGAGCGTGAGGGACGGTGCGCAGACGGTCTGCCGGCAGCGCAGCCAGCACCTGTCTCGCTGTGCGCCGGTGACGGAGAGACACGCGGGCACGACGCTTGTGAGGCTGAAACTGGAGACGCGCGTGGGATGGATATCATAGAAATGCTCACGCTAGAGCACAAATTTATAGAAGATTATTTTTCCAACTTGACGTCGACAGCTCCTGAACAAGAGCAGTTGGTGCACAGCTCACCTGTGAGCAGTTATGTTGAGGTTTCTTCAGCCACAAGCAAAGAAGCGTTTTCAGAAAATGAAAATAAAACTATTGACACGTGGGCCGATCTCATATCAAGCATCGAGAGCAGTTTGGCAGAGTTCAGAGATAACATCCCTCCCACTATTTGGGATGTTGACCACACACCGCTTTTTATCGAGGAAGAAGAAGACTCCTGTCCACGTGTTACAAACGACTCAAATCAAAGTCCCAAAGCTCCTGAGGAATCTGTAGAGTTTGCATTGCCTCATGCCCGAAACGAACTTGAACACATCGGCAATAGCCAAGCAAAACCGTCTGATGACGGGTGCACAGAGGGCATCTGGTTTCATTGCACGAATTCTGAGAGCACTAATGCCGCTGCGTGGAATAGTCGCACATCGCGACCAGGATTCCAAAACGAGAGGCAATGTGGGAGTAGCTGCGACAGTCCGGACAACTTCAGCAGAACGGGGAGAAACGATCCCAGTATCTCAGGAGCAACTTTGATGAGTCCACCTCCTGGCAAGCCATACGCACGGTCAGGACGAGAAGGAAAGCAATCTCCACAGCCCACAGAACTACCGAGAGCAGGTTTGTCCAAAAATTGCCACAGCAGCACAATTAAATGTTGTACTTGAAGCACACACGCACGCACACTGCGTTGGAAATGTATGTATTGTGTTTTTTGCCTCCATAGGTGCTCGTGTGGACAATGACAGCGAGTGTTACAGTCAACGGTTCCTCGCAGGACGTGACTCGGATGCGAGTCGCTCACGCCTCGCTGACATCTTGGGAAATGGGCGAGCCTCTCCACCGACAAGGAAGGCCCAAACAGGGCTCCGCAGGGCTGAACCGCCTACTGTGCGCGCTCGGCCCCCTTCTTCCCCTTGCCTGTCCAGCCCCAGTGATTCACCGCAACTCACGCGGTGTCCATCCACTTCTGGCCTCTTTAAAACAGTCTCCCCTGCACAGTTATGTTGTGTCCAGGAGTCGCACACTTATACTGGCAGGTCCTGCAGGTCCCCTTGCAGACGCAACCATTTACACGAGTCACATTGCTCCTCATGTAATGCTGATTGGTTCTCCAAGCCTTACAATAACGCAGGGACGAGCGCTGGTTCAGTCGATCACCAATTGGGTGTGTGCAAGGAATGCGGGTCTTGCCAGCCGGCCTCTCCCAGTGGCAGGGCTTGTCGATTGCCAGGGCAGTGGTCTTTGCAGTCCCATACTCCAACACTGGGAATGTGTAAGTGTCCCTCAACACCAAACCTATTTCACAGTTCCTCCTTGTCACTCGAGTCTCAATTTCACTTCCCCTCGGTCCCAAGCCGGAATTCCTTCTCTAACTTCCTTCATTCGTACACTTTATCCAACTCTGAAACCAATCAGTCGTGTTCCTCACTTGATTATGAATTTTCAAACATGACTGCTCCCTTTACTAAAGTAATAAAAAATCCAACCCCAACGGCTCCACCACGCTATTCTAATGTTTCCAGCCGCATCCCCTGCGACTCTGTCATTCCTCCATACCATTCATCTCCTCTCTCATCAGACTTGCTGCGTAGCCCTTCTGAGGGCAGCCTCCTCTCTCCTTCCACACAGAGTTTTCTGAAATCCTATGCATCTGCTTTGGAGATCTGTAACAACAACATGGATCAAGCAGAGTTGCCGTTTGAATCCAAATCCAAGAATTCAACTCCAAAGAGTTCAGTGTTGGGGACTGCGCCAGGTGAACCTGCAGAGTACTGGCCCTTCGTGCCGGACGACACCAGGGTCTTCGTTCACAGTACGCACACTCCCTCGCATGAACCCTACAGAGTGAGAAGCAGAAGCCTCGGGTTTCAAGACTTGAGCGGCGAGCACTGTGAGAAAACGAGGGCAGGTTTACCGGAGAGCCCGGGTGGGCTCGGCACACCTGCAAGCGCTCACTTTCCTGAGAGCCTCGGGCTCGAGCGTGGCAGCTACTATGGGTCCCACATTGTGCTCCAGGATGCGGATAAAGCTGTGGTGGTGGACAGGGTCTTTCCACAGAGGGTGCTGAGCATGAACGTCAGCATCCGCAAGATGTACGCCAATAGTCTGTGCCGGAGGGACCGCCGGTCCGCATCGCCGCCGCGACAGGTGGAGGCCACGCTGGCGGATGGCCGATGCCGGTGGCTGGACTACACCGAGCTGTCGTCCGGAGCGGCGTGCAGGCCGCCAATCCCACACAGAGCTCGCTCGCACTCCTTCAGGTCTCAGAAGCGGATGCCGCCTGTGTTGAGAGATGCACTGATTTGAGTGGTGGACTGGCATTAGGAGAGCTGCAGAGGGAACTGGGATTCACACTGAAGCCACAACGAGAACAAATTCACCAACAAATACTGCCTTTAAATTAACAGGCGATAAGAGGCACTTCTTCACAGCACATCGATCACATCACGTAAATAGTCATTTATTTGCTATGAATGTGCTGTTCGGTGCCTTTACCAAAAACGTCACCTATTGCGTTTTTAATTTAAAGCCACAGTGTTGAATAAATGAACCTGTTCGTTTTTGTTATTGTGCTTGTTCACCACAGCCAATGCAGCATTACCAAATAATTTATACAAAACGTGATGCAAAATCCTAGACAAATATACTTGCTTTTGCTAATACTCATAATCTCTCTCATGAATGCGTGCATTATATATGACTTCAGGTCATGGTTGGGGGCTGATTCAGGCAATTATCCCTCTAGGTTCAATAAAGTTCGTACCACTCTGCGGGAACGTCAACGGTGGTTGTCCTATAGATATAATCTACCAACCGCCTGCAAAAATCAGTAACTAAATCACGATGTACGCTTTCATAAATCCTCCTTGCGTACACACACCCTGTGGGTTATGTCAATACAGTTTGTGCCGTAACTTCAACACCATGTTTGCGCATGCACACCGCCTTACAGATCCAGCAGGGGCTTTCGACCAAATGTACAGCCTCTGTGATCCGTGGTTTATTGTTGCTCTGCGGATGCATACAATGCATATTTGGGATGTGACGTACCATAGGGAAACATTAATGTTTGTACTCGTACCATCGGCCAGACTGACAGCGCTGAGCATGTAAAGTTGCACCTCGGGCTCGCTTTTCGCAATGAATGAAGAGTCACCACCTCATGCACTGTAGATCAAACCCGGACATATTTCTCAGTAAGCGCGAGGTCTATCAAATCTGTGTAGTGGTGGTATTCTGCAATAAAGTTTCACACAATACTGATGCCAAATCTCGGTACAAATATATCTCTGTTGCTACCCAAACACAGATGACAATAACCCAGACAAGTGGTGACCCTACCCTGAACCCTGGCTCCAAGGTTGGCGAGTGCTGTATTCAGAATATTTAAGCAATACTTTTCTATTTCTACTGCCATGCATAACCCCTTGAGTTACAACACGTAAAAATAATTTTACCGGTGTTAATTATTCTTTATGTAATACAGTACCATTGTGAGTGCGTGAAATAAAACGGGCGTCTGGAGCATTTAACTCTGAAAAGCGAGCCACTGCATCTGTTTACTCGGTGGGCCACCGCCAGACGGCACTGTTATGAAGAAATTAACATTCCATCTCCGTGCCAGCGTCAGAAATCTAAAATAAAAAAAACTGTATAAGACATGACCCCAGAAATTCCAACTAATTGTTTTAGATTTTTGGCTCTGCACCATTTCTGTACACCTATCCCGCACGAGGAAAACTATTTTGAAGTCAACTATTATTAGGTATTTATTGTGTGTTGGACCGACTCTCTGTGTTGCATTGCATTACATTTCCAAATTTTACTAAGTTTGTTTTTATTAAGTGTGTTTTCTCTCTCGCTGTGTGTGTCTCTGTGTTGTCTCTCTAGTATTTCCTGCAGTTCGTTTTCTCTCTGTGTCTCTGTGTTGTATCTCTCTACTTATGTGTCTGTCTTTGTGTGTCTTGTCCCTCTCTCAAAATTTTACACTTCTAATTTAGCAAACTTTGGAAGAATGTAATCAACCAGGCTATGCGTTAATTGTGTGTTGACCGACTCTGTGTTGCATTGTATTACATTAACAAATGTTACTAAGTTTGTTTGATTAAGTGTTTTCTCTCTCTCTGTGTGTCCCTTGTGTTGTCGCTCTCGTATTTCCTGCAGTCACGAAAGCTCTAAATCTCTCATTGACATGCTAATTTCTCTACCCCCCCCCCCCCTCTCTCTCTGGCCCCCTCTCTATTTAAGGCCTCGACACAGAGGCGTTGTTTCTCTGTGTGCCTATGTGTGTGTCTCTCTCTGTGTTATCTCTCTGCTTATGTGTCTGTCTGTGTGTCTCCGTGTCTGTTTTGTCTCTCAAATTTATCAATCTTTGGAAGAACGTAATCAACCAGGTGGGGAGTTGAGTGTTATGTTAGCCGACTCTCTGTGTTGTATTGCATTATATTTATACGTTTACTAGGTTTGTTTTCTCTTTTATTCGTACCTGATGATGATTGTTTGTGTTGCAATCGAAACGTATGCTATTATTTAATTAAATTTTCTTTCTACGTGACTTTACCGAAAGAAACAAAGAGTATTATTAGGTAGCGTTTTTGATGTGGTGCTGTGCAGGTTGCAGTGCTTATAAACCACGATATTATTATATACTACGATATTATTATAAACCACGATATTATTATATACCACGATATTAGTATATACCACGATATTATACACCACGATATTATAGACCACGATATTATATACCACGATATTATTATAGACCACGATATTATTATAGACCACGATATTATTATAGACCACGATATTATTATAAACCACGATATATACCACGATATTATTATATACCACGATATTATATACCACGATATCATTATAAACCACGATATTATATACCACGATATTATTATAGACCACGATATCATTATACACCACGATATTATATACCACGATATTAGTATATACCACGATATTATTATATACCACGATATTAGTATATACCACGATATTATTATAGACCACGATATTATAAACCACGATATTTTGTACTCGCGGTAATGTTTTGTTGAGAGCACGTGCAGTACCGCGGTGTTTGATCGCGGTACTTTACCCTACCCTACCATGATCGTTTAATCATTGTCCGGCATTATTTCTGCTTAAACAACAGGGCCATTCCTGTGCGTTCAACGGTTAGCCTGCCTGTCGGCCTAACCCCATTTAAACGCATTAGCGGTACACCGGTGGTGCACGGTACTAAAAATAAGCAATATTTTAAAATACTTTTTTTTAAACACGCTTTAATGAAATGTACCGTACGAGTAATGGAAGAACTCGCACGACTCCAGGAAGTGGCCCCGAAGCTTGTCGTAACGTGAAGGGACCATGGTGATTTACAGCCAACGTCAGTTGAGCGTGGACAATTAGAAACAAGCCGAAACATAACATATAAAAAATGTTATTTTTTTTATTTTTAATCATAGAATACAGTATTGTCATCAGTTTGACATAAGTATATCAAGTTTGCAGTCGATAGCACATTGGGAAGTGGGTCAAAATTGAGTTACAAGATTTAAGGATACAACAGACAGCGAGTTAAATAAAAAAAAAGTTGTTAAGATAATTATTTATTTCCCCGTGATTCGTAACCCCGGTTAGAAAATCTTGCCGGATGCGTCAAAATCAGTCCTCATGACATCGAAGCAGTCGGGAGACGAATGTTTATACGAGCGGCTGAACACGAAGTTTCAAAATCTCGATTTGAAGTTTTCGTGACTGCAGGGATCCATACTGTTTGGTTCTTTCGGTAAAGTCACGTAGGTGTAATAAAAGACTCTGTCAGGCGATGCTGGTCTCCGTTTGTTTTTTATTCAGGTTCTTCTCCGCACCCCCCACTGGCCTCCTCTCGGACCAGTGTCGTCTCGCGCGCGCCCCGCGCACGCTCCCTCTCGCGTGCCACGCACGCTCTCTCTCTCGCGTGCTACGCACGCTCTCTCTCGCGTCCCCCGCACGCTCCTCCGTTAGCTCCTCTATTCCCTCACTCCGCACACCGCTGGCTGACGGCGTGCTGAGGTCCTTCGGCCACGTGGCCGATGGCGCGGATCTTTCCTCACCACCCAACGTGGTTCAGCCTCTTAACTTCCCCGACTGCCCCGATCTCTTCCGGGCTCCCACTTATATACATTCCCCCCACGTGACCCTGACTCCTCCCCTTCCGGATCATCAGATCCGGCCTTCCCATAATACCCCGCTGGCTCCGCCCCCATTCACCTCGCCTCCCATTGGAGCCGAGGTGAACGGTGGCCCCTCCCACACGCCCCGCAGACCAGGCTCTGCCCCCCAATACCCCGTGCCGTGTGATTGGACCAGAGCCCAGCAACAACCCCATTTACGCTCGCATTACATAGGTATAAATTAAATTACATCAAATCACGACGTTTCGGGCGCAACACAAGCGTCCGTCATCAGGTAGTAAAACCACAGCAAGAAACAATCGCTGAAGTGAGCTAAAGGGCTCCTGCTGCTGACAGTCTGTTGCCGTGTAGCGGCACCCAACCTGGTGACGATTGGCTGCTCCGAGTTCCAAGGGCAGAGATTTTGACTCCTCGTGCCCCAGACTTGGTCGGACGGTTCCCCCAATTCATTTCGGGAATCAATTCGTGGTGGACGGTGGCATCAAGAGATTACGGACTCATGTCACACGGTCAAAATGGGAAAGCGGCTGCTGAATCGAAGGGGCCGGGCCGTTCATAACGCACCTGGGGGGGGGGGGGGGGGGGCTCAGACATTTGTGACGATGTGTGATGAGGGGGGGGAGGGTGAGAAATGTGACGTTACATCAAAATGCGCAACTTTAAATAAATATAGACAACACGTTCTACTTAATTAAATAGACTTTTAAAATAAATGGTTTCTCCTACAGCATCAGAGTGCAGCGCCACATTAAATACGCACTACAATGACAATAGTTTAAAGCGATTTCAAGCATGTTTTATTTTGGGGGGGGGGGGGGCAGAGCTTTGTGACGTCATATTTGAGTGGGGGGGTCTGACTTTTTGTGACGCCGTGTGACGAGGGGGGGGGGGGGTCAAAAATCGTCCAAAATCGCGTGACGTCATTTATGGACGGCCCCAAAGGCAACTTCTGATGGAGAGCCTGCAGCTCGCTCAAGGGCAACAGCGACAACGTCAGACCATGTGACGCCGCACCGGCGTGTTGTGAAGCTGCACCGGCGCGTTGTGATGCTGCACCGGCGTGTACCGACAAGACGTCCATTTGCCGTTTCTGCCCAGCTGTTACGGCGGACGCATGCGATGCATTGCGGGGACTGACCCGCGGCTCTCGCTAAGCAACTCGCATTCCTCGTCCATCGACTGTTGTTCGACTTTGTGTGCATTGCCGTGCCTTAGCTGGCTCGGGAGGAGAAACAACAAAATCGCCGTCAAAGACCCGCGGTGCGATCGAGTCACCGACCTGGGCACTCCGCGGTTGGCTTGACTGCCACTTCGCTTCCGGCAATTCCTGGCCCCTCTGCTTGCTCGCTCAGTCGCCAAGGGGCGGGGAGGCACGATTCAGCTACCCTCCCAGGTATGTTGGCTGGCCTGAAGGGAGACTGTCTTGAGTGAAATGTGCATCGTTCGATGGGGAAAACCGCCCAGGAGTTCCTTGCCTTCAAAGAGAGGGAGCAGCTGGAGAAGGCCCGCGGCCTAGAGGCCCTCAGTGCCATTTTTTCTGTAGGCTCCAGTCCTACATTCAGCCCTAAACCCACCCGTCTGGTCAGAGAGGGGGTCCGCCGTCCTGGAGGGGCGGGATCGAGGTCACTCGTCAGGCGGCCACAAGTGCTCCCATCCTCCTGTAGAACAGTGAGTGGGGGGCGAGGCGTTGGTAGCCCCAGCGTATATCCAGCATATCCCTGGAAAGCGGCCTCTCCTTCGCTGCGACAACATGACAGCCGTTGCCGTAGTGAACAGGCAGAGGTCTTGCTCCTTATGATGCTCTCTCCTCAGCTGGGCCGAAGCCCATGGAGTTCATCTAATATCCAGGCATCTGACTGGGGACCCAAAACCTCACTGCCGATTGGCTAAGCGGGGAGACCTTTGATCCCGGTGAGTGGTATCTGCACCCGATGGATTTTGGGCAACTCGTGAGGCGTGTCGGCTTGCCTGCTGCCGACTGGTTTGCAGCGGACAATGCAAAGCTGCCCAGTTATGCGTTGCGCTACCGTCAGCCTGGACCTTGGACCTTTCGCCACGGATGCACTGACATCGCAAATCCGTCATGATACAGCGGCCACCCGGGACTACCAAAAAGTGATCGTCAACCTGTACCTTTCGATACATCAGGATATAAAGCCAGCGCCGCTTGTTCGCCTAAAATCACACCACGCCACAATATATAAATGAAGATGAGAGATGGAAGCGAGTCTGGACTGCAACCAACGTCAAACATAAACATCTCGTACAGGAGCCCACCGTCGAACCTCGTAGTTTCAACTTTGCATGGCCACCAATGGTCGACCATCAACCGAATCTGGACTGGGCATGACTGATGCGTTCACCTGATGCATGAATGGTGCATCAATGTTTTAGCAGCCTGCGAGTGCGGCCACGAATCCTAAACCATCGACCGCATCGTAAACACTCCGCTGCTGCTCCCTTCGCTCCTTTAAAGGAGGAATGGACGAGATCCAATCTGCTTCTGAAAAGACAATTGAGTGGCTAACAAATATAAAACTACATCTTTAATCTGGGGCTATTAATTCATACGAAAAAAGAAGCAGGGAGGGTGGTCGACAAAGTACCTCTCAATGAAAAGACACGTGGACCT